TGTATTGCAGCATAGGTATTTGCATATCATCTATTCTAACTAGAATGGAGACCACGCCGGGCACTCACTTCTAATTAGAGTAGATAGGTGGAAGTAACAGGTGAATCCAGAGCGTGACGGCCATTGTCAATGCGGCGTTCCCACGAGCCAGAAACCTGACCAGCTTGTCGTTGCCGAGCAAGAATATGGATGGGGTCATCGAAGGTTGCCCAAAGTCCCGGATCAAGGCCAGAGGAAACGATGCCGTGCCGCTCGAGCCAGCGCTCATCGAGGTCAATGCCATCCGGCATATTAGCGTGGTCTTCATCAAAATCCAAAGCTACTGGATGGGATGGCGGCTGGGTGTTGACTATGTCGACAATCTGAGGAGTAGCCAGCGCGCATACCAGAGAAAGAGCATGGTTGAGGGTGTCCTTATCGGCTTGCGCTGGTTTAAGGGTCAACGGGACCCTTAAACGAGCAATCTGTGGTCGCTGTTAGTGGGCTCAAAACATGTATTGAAACTTACCTGAGCAATTTCAAGTGCAGCTGTCATATGCACATCATCGTATGGCCGATAAAAGCTCTCTTTTGGTGGATCACCTCCGTCAACCCACTCTACTTGTGGCAGCCAGCGCCACAGGTATTCCATCTGGTATCGATTGATGTCGAATCCGAGGCATTCCGCTGCGGCCCACAGTGTTTCAGCGGGAGGAGTAGTCAGATTTTGGCGTTGCAACCGAACTTGGCCAGGGCTAGAAGATGAACATAAGCGAATATTAAATGAGGTGCAGGCACACATACACAACAAACGCAGCAGGGCGGCTCTCCGCGCATACATGGCACAGCAATTTGAACTGCGCTTGCGTCCAGTCGGTGATTATTGATGATAAGCACCGCCGGTGTGACCAATTTTGGCACACTTCACACTGAATAAGGCGACGCGGAGCGTCTGACGGCTCCTCGTCTGCATCGGAGCCGCATATGCAGGAGATTTGGCCCCATGCCTCGTCAATTTCATCCCGGCCCAACCGAGAGTCGGCTTCATCGGAGCTCGAGGCCGGCGCCGGCTCATCGTCGGGCTGTACGGAGTATGCTTCTGATTCTGGATCGGATGGCGCCGAGAGCTCCTCCTCGTCCTCCGAGGCATCACCCCCTTGATTGTTTTTTTCGACTTTCGCGGCTTTGAAGGGGGCAACTCGGATTGTTGTGGGTTTTCGGTGTATTCGCTGTATCGCACAAGTTGACGTCCTTGATGCCAAACCCGTTCAGTGTTGTCTAAGCGAAGATGGTCCGATTGCGGGAATCCTGCTTTGATGAATGTCTCCGACTCTGGGTCAAACGTACAGTGCAGCCCATTCGTCCACTTCTTTTTGCGCTCGGCACGGAACAGCCGCTGAGCCGGTTCGCCGCCGACCAGGCGATAAACCAATCCGGAAATTTCATAATTTGGCGGGATTCCTTTCAGCTTCGAGAACGCGCCAGTCATATGACGCTGGACTGAGCCACTAACTTGTATTGCCCGTCCTCCGTTCTTCATTCCGTCGTAGTCAAAGATCCGGCCATTTGGAGATAAGTAGCGAGTCATGAAGTGGGAGCCGTTGGTGTAAATGTGCGATATGAGTTCATATCTAACCCCTGGAGCTAAGTTTGGATTGTTTGGTGTCCGGAAAGGGGTGCAATTCGGCCGGAATATGCCAATCGTATTGATCCGGCTCCACGACCTCGATGACGAAGATGAGTGGAATCGACAGGACATAGGAATGGGATATGGTGATGCCACCACAGAGGTACTCTCCATCGACAGAGCGCCAACACTTGCCATCCTCCCAGGAGCCTGAATTGAGGAAGCCCTGGTTAAACCATTTGGTTATTTTGCCGTTGAATTGCTCAAATTGGTGGTTGAGCAGCTGAATTTCATTTCTGGCTGCAGGTGTGTCAACGAGCCAGTGTGTTTGGGCATGAGTAGGGGAATCAGGGTCACCGTAACACATCCGCAACAAAACAGCTTGGACGCGAAATAAATTAATGGCCCGGGCAAGCGGTGCCGACTCAGCGTTATCAGCTTTCATTGCGACATGATGTGTTGTGGCTTCCCAAAGCCATCCCTAGTGTCCGGTCAGATTTCACGCATGATTTGTGAAAAGTGGTACATACAAATGGCGTATACCATTGCTCCTCAGATGTTAACCCAATGATAATTGGAGATAATACCATCTGTCGGCGAAAGTCATTTCGAGCACTGGCCAGCTCCGGCGATGTCAGCTGATCATTACCAGCTTCTGATACATGCTGTCGAAGAACACGCAGCAGCCAGTTCAGCGGTTGGTTATCGGGAAGTGAAGCTAGATGCTTTTCGAGTGCAGTAGAGTCACGTGCAGCAACAGCGAACAGCGCCGTAAGGCCAGAGTCCAACCAACAAGAGTTGTTAAACCAGGGATAGGATAGCTGATAGGTCAGCTTCGAAGTTTGATACTGGTGCTGGCTGGCGATGAGATGATGCATGCAGTGTCTCGGGCACCAGGTCAGCAGCACGATCGGGAGGACGGGCATCCGCACGCTCAGCTGCCGTGGAAACATGGCCTCGAGAGTGATGGGTACGCCCGTAAATATTTGATGTTGCCTTCCAATGTCTGGGGTCACTTCCGTAGTAGATTTTGCCGCCATCTGGGAGAAGATAAGATAATCAGTCTCAGATTTAACTCAGAAACCAACGCTTCGCATGCAGATACTTCTCTTCCAACAACTCTGCCGCCCGCACCAGACCCTCCAGCCCCTCAAACATATTGTTTCCTCTCTTGATCATACTGTAAAGTCGGTGATGCATTGCCTCCTCTGCATTTGTTGTCGCTGGCAAGTCAAAGAAGAGACTTGTATCCATTGCCAGCTCGGAGCGGAACAGCATGGATGCATGCTCTGGACGCATCCACCACAATAGCCAGGGCTTGACTCGGGGAAATCTTCGATAATCTCGGCGGCCTTCTGACGGAAAATGTTCCCTGTCGCACAGCTCAGCAACTCGTGAACACGGTTCTGGAAGTGCGGGCGCTGAGTTGGCGTAATGACATGGCTGATTTTGCTGACTCGTTCAACTTGCTCTCGGAAATGTCGCCGCAGCCCTTGACAAGACCTTGTGCATCTTGCCGGAGTTCTGTCTGAGTTCGGTTGTTGTCTGGTTGCCGAAAGAGAAACTCGACAAGTGCATCGAGTAATCCATTGCGCTCCGCCTCGCTGAAGTCCAGGACCTGGTTAACACAAAATCAGACAAAGTGGCAGCCACATGGAAATCTCACGTTGGCAATCAAATAAGAAGGAATAGGTTTTCCGGGATGTCGAAGCCTATACTCCTCCTCGATACCCTTCAAAAGTTGACGAAAGTGGAGCAAGTAATGCTTGCTCGTTGCACCGTGACTAAACGTCATTACCAAGGGCACATAAGACTTGAGAAACTCCGGCTCATATGCCGAGCTGACAATAAGATAGTTCTTATCGCCCTTGAAGTAGTTGTGAGCGGCGTCCGAGACAACACCATTTAGTGCATCCTCTTCGATATGACCTTTGACTGAGCGGCGACGCATGAAGGGGGATTGGAGAACAACAACCTTGAAATCTCGGTTGTAATGCACATTGATTGTCCAACTTGGGTGCGCTGCGCGGAATTTGGCCATCTCGGGTTCGAAGTGCTTATCTTGTGTCTTGATTCCAGGTTGCAGCTTGTCAATTGCTTTGCGCTTCTCGTAGGCAGTACGCTGCTGATTAAGAAGGAGTGGATTAATGGTGGAGACTGAGGGACCTGGCCCACCAACACCAGGACGGCCGGCCAATAGTTGGGCAGGCCCTGCAGTCGGATAGTCGCAGACAAAGTTGGTGAAATCTACCGTTTGCGCTGGTGTTAGGCGCTTCTCGTTTGGGGGATGAGGATGGCCATGTGAAGTGTTCTCGTAGTGTACACCGTCCCGATAGATCCAGTACCGTGAAATTTTGCCGCATTGGTGCCATTGAAGCTCAGCACCCCAGGCACAACCCGCTCGCATCTGTCTCTCGCGCGTGGGGCTTCTTCGTCAATGGCCGCACGATGATTTTGCAGTTACCGTTATTGCATTTTGCGTAACCAAGACACCGCCGTCGAGTAAGCTTTCCGTCTGGGAAGGATTCTGCGGAGGTATCACCCTTGCTACTGCCCAGCGTTTGAAAAGCCCAGTTCACCCGCAAATTGAATTCCGTCACCATCTCTAATGGATAATCTGCAGCCCAGTCTCCTTCGGGCCAAAAATCCCAGTTGTGCTTCTGGACAAGCGCTTGAGTCGTTCATCCTGCGACGCATCGGGTTTTACTTCTGATTCAGGGTGTTGGGAACGCGGAACATGCTGCTTTGGTGCCGGTGGTAACGGAATACGCTCGCGTTGGGCTGGCGTAGGACTGGTTGAGCGACGAGGGTGGGTAGAGGCAGCACTTGGGAGTTGACTCCCGCGGAGCAATTTGTCCGTGCTCCGGTTCTCAGCTGCGACGTGCTGACGCTTATGGCGCGAATCCGTGGCCTGTGTCAAAATGATTCCTAGAAAGTTAATAAGAAGCTATCATGGCATATGAAAGGTTTCGCACCTGCAGGATGTCCAAGCCTCACTCCAGTATATGCGAAAATCTTGCCATCTTTCCCGACAAGCGGTTGTACACCCACTCCAAGGTCCTCTTCATCAACTACGGATGCGTAGGAAGCACAAACTGGCACCCGAGAGCTGAACATACCAACAGGTATACCATCCACTTCACTTCCTGTCGATTCGAGGCTTGCAGACCTGTCGGAGGTGCTGTCCGATCGTTTTCGACGGCGTTTAATACCCACAACTTGCTGGATAAGTCGTCCGATGCTATTCTGATACAAGTGTTAGCCGCTGAGAATAGAGCCAATTGTGCATACCATAAACTCCATCTTGTATACTGGTTGACGGTGAAAAAGACGGAAAATATCACAAAGATTTGCTCAGGGGGATTTTCAAAAAACATCAGATTGGATCTTCAAACTACATGCAGCCGCTATTCGGCATCGCCTGTGTCTGCGTCAGGGTCGTCATCCAGCTCATGCTGCTCTGCTTCATCCCACTCTAAGTTCGAACAGTCAGAAACACTGAATTTTCAACGGGGAGCATCGCATACCTTGAGGTCCAACAATATCCTCCTCCTCCTCAAGTTCTGACGGATCATCTTGCATGCGTGTTTGAATAGCTGAAAGGTGGTGTGTCAAATAACACATAGGCCAAAGAACTACTCACATTCATCGTTCTCCAATTTATTAGTAGAGTTGAGCTGGCGCCATAAACCCGGAAAGGCCGATGAACAGTCATCGCCCGTAAGTTCGACCAAATTTGGGGTCGTACGGCCATCGGATGGAAGTAAAAGACGATGAGAATACTTGCCATGTGTGTGTGGTTTCCATGATTTGTCAGGCTCGCACCGCCCCGAAAAACCACAACGCTGAGCTCAACTCCACAGGCGGCATGATATAGTGCATGTCCGCAGAGGCAAACCTGTTTCAGCTGCCGGGTAATTCCTTTCATTGTCGAGTCAGGAGCGATGCGTAGGCCATAAGCGCAGCGTGAAGCACCGCAAATCAGCGTCCCACGACATTTTGAACGAAATTTCTTGCCGGATAGGAGTGTGGGTGAATGAATAGAGCCTCGACGAACGCTAGGAAGCGATTCCAGCACCCAGAACACGTCAAATGCCCCGGGCGTTGTCAGCTCTGGCCGCGAGAGGCTATATTCAGTAGGGCCATCCGGCCACCCATTCCATTCCGAAGCCGCACGGCGCTGGAAGGAAGCGAGCGGCGGTGCGGGTATGGTTGTTGACACAGGCGTGGGTGAAGAACTGGAAGGGGCTACTGCGGGCGTTGTACTGAGAGATGGTCGTGCGATAGTTGCGCGGCGTGTTACTATTGAGTTTCAATGTCAGTTTAGTGTGAACTTGAACGCGGCTGGAGTATAACCTGTGACGCCGCTAGTAGGCTGCTGTTGTCCCCGAGCGTGAACTATGGCCACCAGGTTACCTGCATGGCTATGTGAGACTATTTACATCGCTTGAAGCCGGTCGCACGCACCATCAACACCATACGCCGGTCGAAGGATCGGCTTCTTCTTCTTAGCTTTGAGTTTTTCAATCTCATCTTCAAGTTCTTGAACTGCTGCTTGCAGATTCCAAAGGTAGAATGCACAGAGAGCTAGAGCTCCACCGTAGATGAAGGACAGTGCACGAGTTGTGAAAACCGTTGAGAATATGACGACCGTTGACTGGTAGGCAGAGATCACCCAAGGGAGGTACGCGGAAGCCAGAATGGAAAGCAATATCGTGTTTGAGGCCACAAGAAACCACAGTATTGGCTCGGCCATTTGGACTATGACAGCGTAGAAAATTGTCCTCGTCGGCGGCGATGGACGATGAACGAGAGAAAGAAGCGCTAAGCGGCTGTGCAAACGTCAAAGAAGTTACGAGAGTATCTGTCGACGAATAATACTCACTACCTGCCTGTGGCTCAGCTTCAAGCTGATTGTTGGTGTATACGAGCAATGGTATATTCGTGACAACTTGAAGTGTGCCAGTGGGCTGCGTCGGCGCGGCAGTGTGACTGGTATCGCGGCCTGTGACATGGCCGCAGCATGGCCGCGACAGAGCCGCAGCATGGCCGCGACACGGCCGCGACACGGCCGCTGCGGGGCCGCGACAAAATCCTCAATGGCTGCGGCCATGGAGGTACAGCCACACGAAGTTGGCCGCAAGACCGCGACATGGCCGCTGTACGGCCGCGACAAGTCCACACTTAAGTTGTCTCTCTGCACCAAACTGAGTGCCGATTGATATATTTGAGTACTACACGTGTCCTTTAACCAACCAACACTCAGCTCTATGCCCCAATGAGGCAGAGGCGTCCGTACGGCCCCCCTGCGGCCATGTGGCTGTGCAATCGCGGCCCTGCGGCCGTGTCGCGGCCATTTAGCGTGGCCCCGCTGGCGCTCATTTCGACAAGGAGTCCATCAAAACACTGACAGATCTCAGCGCGGACATATCTCAAAAGTGGAATGCACGCGCTTCAGCAGAGCCGAGTTTTAAGCAGGAAGTCGAAAAATATCTAGTGGTGGGCCCTGTCCATTGTCTCCGCTAAAAACAAATTTGAACCGATGTGACAGGCTTGGGAAGACACAATGTCCATCAGAGGCAGTCACCTTACTGGCCTTCCAATGCGCGCTCCATCCCGGTTTACCACTCGAACTTCTGCATCTAGAACATTCAATCTGGGTGCGAAGATTGCAAAAGCCATAGACATGTTGAGCTTGTGGAACGACTCACAGTCGGTGACCTCTCGAAAAACCAGTGGCAGCAAGGGGGTGTCGGTTCTAAGCTTTGGCCTCGCCCGTCCCGCACGTTACTGACGCGGACGTATTTACAAGTTCGGCGTGGAACATCATCGAACCCTCGAGTCTCCGTGTACTATTACCTTTATCATACCCTTGGCATATTATTATTGACGACAAAGAATCTATTCCCTATTGCAATCCACGACGAAAGCTTGGAAAGTGTTACAGCTGGATAGAGACCTCATCGCTTTCGTTCCTAAATATACCTAGAGATCGAGCGGCAGAGTAGGCAACACGCAGCACAAACTGCCCCAACAAACAAAGCGAACGACCACAAGATGCAGAAATCCAAAAACGACAGACGTCGTCACAGAGTCGTACCAAGTGTCCATGATCGCCAGTAAAATCACCACCGACATCATCAGCCAATGTGGCCGCCCGCCGCGACACGCAGACATTGCACTCACAACCTATCGACGACATTAGTACACATGATATTAGACAGGCGGCACAAGTAATATGACCTTGGTGATGACCAAGCCTGTCTTGAGCGAGCGCATCCAGACGTTGGAGGAGTCAGGTCGTAGAAGCAGGCGTAACCTTCCTCTTGATATTGTTGTTGGCGGATCTGAAGCGGGTAGTTGCAAAAGCGAGGATTGACTCTTCGATTCCTCTTCCCAGTCTTCCCATATTGATGGCGGTGAATGTCCAGCTGAGGGTAAAGTGTCTTCATGCGAGTTAGTGATAGTGGGCGTTGTTTGATTTGGCGCTTCGTCACTCTGTACTCGAGGCGTTGCAGGTGGTGAAGGTGGTACTCGAGTGAGGACAAGCGTTTCTGTGTTAGACGGTCGCTTCACAGCTGGAACTAGGGAGCTTGATGGGTCCGTCGAAGATGTTTTACGAACCGTCCGAACGACAGGATCGAGCTATAAAAGCATTGGGATAGTATCCCTCGCGTAAATAGATCGACCATACCTTGCCTTCACGGATAGCTGTAACGACTCGTTCACAAGAAGGCCGACTAAATGGCGTGACATGTAGAAGCCCTTCCAACAACACCAGAAAAGCGCGAGGCAGCTTCCGCGTGTCAAATTGTAGTGCCAAAGTTGGTGTCGATTTAAAACTGCGATATATTGAGTTGTCGGTCGAGACAAGACCAATTGAACAAACCCAGGGTAAGTTAGGACCTCTTGCTCTAACCGGTCCATCTTGTCACTTTCCCCAACCTTGCTGCCCAGATCTTCTCCGTCAGACGCATATTGGTATGGCGACTTGAAGAAAAGCATCTTGTGCAATATCATTCCGAGCGACCACATGTCTGCTTTGGAGTCGACAGGTTGCAAGAGTCCTGTTTGGGGAGCAGGAAGCGACTCGGGAGATGTATATTCCAAACTGCACGGAATAAGACGACGAACGCGATAGACGAAAACTGTCAACTCACGTGCCGGTATTCCCTGAACGCAATCGGGAGGATTGCAGCATGTCGCGTGAAGTTCCGAAGTCGGATAACATGGCTCGAGGTCTAGAAATGGTCAGAAAAACGTATTCCTGAATCAATCCCCGATTAGACACACATGAGCTTGCCTTCGTCCCATGTCAGCAGCACATTCCCCGGTTTGAGGTCGAGATGCAGTATCGATTTGGCATGCTAAATAAGGAATAAAAAAGAGTGAGCCTGTCTTCAAAACGAGAGTCATACCAAGAAGGCTAGGCCCTCCGTCACGTCTCTGAATAAGCTTAGTACTTCCTCTGCACTGAGCAAGTGGACAGCCGTCCACGTTGCTGTATGAGCCCCATTCCGCGCAGTTCTGGCCATTTCTTCACGGATTTTATTCCGTTCCGCCGAAGGGGCTCGTTGGAAAGCGCGAAACGCGCGTATGCGTGCTGAGCGTGACATCTGGTCGGGATTTGGGGACGCTGCGGCGAGATTTTCGCCGTTGTCGGCACTGGGAGATTGCGGAATTCCGCCTCCGAGATGGGCCGCGGGATGGATATGAATATGTGCAGAACGTCGGCCAAGACGAACGTCAATAAAATCGTCTAGACTGGAGAAAAAAATCAGACGATGAAAGTCAAGTTGGACACGACTAGCCTGCCGCCTTCTGCCCATTGCATTAGCACACTGAGCCGATTTAGCAATGGAAACAAGCACATAAACAACCAGTACTTACTGCAATGTGGGTACTTGAGGTCCAAATGCGGAGAATTGACAGGTTTCGAGCCATGCATGGCTAGAGCGATACGTTAGAGAGCATTAGAAGAGAAGAGAGCACTGACTGGTATGTAATGATATTAGGATGGTGCAATTGTTCTAGTAGTCGAACCTGAAACAATTGTGAAGAGACTGATATGTAAGTCAGTGAATCCGACGCGCCTCTTTTAAGATGTTGAGAAGATACGCATGTGAGTCGCCCACAGCAATCTTTTTGACAGCAAAGTGTCCTTGGAAGGGGGATGAGAGCGGCAGAACGAGCTAAGCGACGGTCGCAAACCAAGAGGATTCCCGTCGAGAACGTGCTAAGGGAAGTGTCAGTGGGGTCAGGTACAAGAGGCCATGATCAACTCACCTGGCAGAGGTAAACGCTACCATTAGCACCCATACCAAGACGAAACTCCTCTTGGAAGAACGCCTTAAAATACCCTTCCGCCATCGCTTCTCTGGGAAACGCGCTGCCGGAAGAGGACCCGCTAATGGCAGGCGGAGTAGAGGGACGAGACGTGGTCTCATTCGCAATGGCGAGTAGATGAAAATAGTTGGACGCGCGAAAGCTATTTTCTGCATCTAAGGCCTCGACATCGTCTTCCACAAGTTCCGCTGCATGAAAGTCGGAAGGCAGGGGCTGTTTACAGTACGGACAGGGTCTGCGGGAGGGTGGTGGGTATTGTGTGGCGTTTCGTATTGAGAGGGCATGCGAGGTGGGATTATAGAGGATCACTTGGTTGGAGACGTGAAAAATAGTTTGCCAGTCGTGTTGTTCCGGAGAGGACGGGGCTAATGGCACTAGCGCATTTGGAGGGGAGTCAGGAGCTATTTCTTCGAGCATTACGTGGCCTAGGTTGAGGCGCACGACCGTGAAGGTCAACCTGCATGAGGTGTGACCGAGGCCCGGCGTCACACCTCGCCTCGATCTCAGCCACAACTCGTGATGTCGGTCGATGTTCGAGCCCTTTTACATCTTGAGCCTCTTACCAACGACGTATGGGGGCAGCTCCCATCTAGCCAACCACCTTACTTGAGCTAGGACGAGGGAGAATCCGATGCCATCACCGCTGTAATCCTCTCCGCAAGTCAAGACGAGAATCCAACCATTTCCTTAGTGGAAATTTACTCCGTCTTATGCCAATCGCGCTCGGAGGCGCTCTTGGTAAGATCCATGCTGCTTATATTCTTACCACTGACTATAGCCAGGACCCACTCGCGATTTTACCACCGTTACTTCGAACACGGCGGCCCGGCGCAAATGATCTTATATCGCTGGTCGGGGAGTGTGCGAGTGCAAAAGAGGTCGTGATTGCAATACAAGAAGCACTAGAAGGCGTCGCTCGTATTTTGGCCGCTGAAGATGATGGAGACGAGCCAAACGAGAAAAGTTCACCAGTTGAACAACTGCTTTCCGTTGTGCAACTCTCGACCTCAGGTGAGTACCCCCCCCTCGTATCAACAACCGACTCATCTCCTTCAGCAATCCCTCGTCTCAAACTCCGAAGGAAAGCTCCATCCGAAACCTTAACACCGCTGTTGTCCCAACTCGAACGAACAATACACCTCGCATCAGCCCAGCTATCCCGCGACCAGGGCCGTCAACTCTTACTTGGACTGGCTCAACTTCTCCACACGGCATTCCACTGGATGCATGGCTATGATCCAGAAGACGTGCCTTCAGGCCAGGCAAGTTCACAATGGATGAATCAGGACTTCTCTGACTCGTCTGCAGACACTTTTAAAGCGTGTTCTGGATAGCGCTGTTTCAGATTGTTCTCAATGCTTGCAGTCTTCTCTGGCACAAAGGACATTTGAAAAATTGTACCCTCGTTTGACAATTCGATCTCAGCTGCTCGAAGACTGGCAAGCCGGAGAACTTGTCGTCGAGAAAGTCGCCGTATGTGTCACCACTCTTTTTGATTAAATTCAGCTCAGTCATTATGTCCAGGCGGCATACAAGTTGATCGATATCGAGAATAAGCAACCGCCTATTCCTTCAGTCGCCTATTTGGTGCTTCTCTCGCACTCAGGAACCTTACCTTATGATATCAACAAACTGTTCTTGTTCTTGTTGCCTATTCTCATCTCCTCTGTTCAAACGACACATGCGCTTGACGAGACGCTCGCTCTCCTGTTGGTAGGCTTACAGGCATCCATGTTCTCAGCCGGCCATCAGCTGTCGCCTGAAATATCTGGTCCGCTCTGTGCCATCCTCCCGAGTCTGGCAAGTAGCCATCCTGACGCCCAAACACGCCATCAAGCTTTCCGCATATTATCTCGTATTCTGTTTCTCACTCCCCCACAACTTCGAATACAAATCCTGAAGGATCTCGTCACCGATACTCAATTTCCTCAAATGCGTGTTGCGGCAATTGGTCTTGTCAAAGAATCGGTTCTTGATGCCCTTTCTCATGAAACGTCAGCTAGCATCTTTGCCTCTCCCCAGTTTCTCCAGGTCTTCGGTCCCATCCTTCTTCGCCCCGACCCTTTAGATCTATTCGATGCCGAGTTGGCACTTGACGCTATGGTAGACTCGTCGGAGCCTGCACGACTAGTCGAATGTCTGTCGTTGTATTACATCCTCCTGTTGCGGGATAAGTCTAATCGAGTAAGTGGAATGGCCACTTCTCATGTCAACTATTTATCGCTCTGATAGACTGGGATTCGTGATCGCGATCAGATCAAGAATGTTGAGCGGACTCTTCTTGCTCCAATTCGCGCAACGCTTCTGCGATGGATGAAACTGGCTGTCGTGTCAGATGGTCTGTGGCCTCTTCTCTAGCATTTGTTGGCCTGATGTCTCCAGACCACCTTCACACAGAGATAATGCCCTTAGTTGCACTCAAAACAAGCTTGGAACGAGTGGATGTTGCGATTATAGATCTCAATTGACCGTTGTGGCTTGATGAATCTCAATGGATGGCGGTGTGGCGATAAATTGACCTCGATCTTGACCCCAACTTGCCGAGACTGGCAGAGACGGGCCGCAACGGTGATTGGTCGCCTTAGCATTCTGACACGGTGTCATACGAACTGTCGTCCCGCGGAAGTAAAATGGGCTGTCTCCGAGATCTGCTGCGTAGTTCATAGCCACTAAATGCATGCGTTCCCACAGCACCGTATCCTTCCCATGATCCATCACAGGAGAGCAACTGAGAAGAGATGGGGGCGGGCTCTCGCAGCCATTAAATGGGCCTCGGACGGTATCAGGTTCCTCCTTCCGTCCTTCTTATCTAGGAGGACCTGAAGACAACGAGGGGCTTCTCCTCGCTCTCGTTCCGCTGTCTGTCGGACTAGTAGACAATGGCAGGGCCCCTTGGAATCTCTTCTCTCAACGGCGCTTTCTACGGCATGCAAGCAGCGGGCCTTCTGGGTGCCTTCATTATGCTTCTTACCGCGACTATTTGGCACAAGATCGCAAGGAGACATTCAAGCTGGTTCAGCTTCATGGTTGCGTGGCTTATCTCTTGCACCTCATATTTGTGAGCCTGGCAGTTACGCTTCTCTTTTGTTGCGGCTGAGCATCGTTTCAGGCTTACAATCGGAGTCCCTCCCGATGTTCAACCAAGTCGTGGCCTCTGTCTACTCCAAGCCTCGTTAGTTTATTCAGTGCCGACTTTGTGGGTTGTCGTTGTCACGATCTCATGATTAATCTTATCTCCTGCAGAACCGCTGGGGCAACCGTCGCACTGGTTGTCAACGTCGGTGTTCACCCATATCCTTCTCCCGATGGTACTCATGTCTTGGCCAGGTATATTTTACCTTGCGAACCCTCTTAACTGCATCTCCGAACCACAGTCCAATGACAGTAACAGCCGCGGTGCGCACTGGAGCTTCCATTTTTTGGATAACGAATTGAATCTTTACATAGCTCATCGTTGTGCCTTACGTCCCCGCGTGGGGCGTATTTACTCTGTCACTGAAGCTCGGATTGAGTGATCCCGGCGTCGTTCAGCGCCACCAAGATGATGCATACTGCAGTTTTACTGGCTTGGCTGCCCCGTGAGTCCCCGTTATTTTCGCCATCACAGCTACTTCGGGCTCTTCTTCTTGCGCCAATTCAGAGACCATGACTGACGCGACGCTTTCATTCTATAGTTCAAGGGTGTCCGCGGCCCTTGTTGCCACTCTCATGACCATCTGTCTCGGGATCGAAATCGTCATTATTCGTGCGATGCGTCGCGCCTGGGAGACCCTCCAGCGCGACGACGACCGCGGCTCTATAACTATCACCGTCCGGGTATTGGCCTTCACGCTCGTTGGAATGCTATCTATCATGTGAGTTTCCCTCCTTCTCCCGAGCACTCGACGTCTGACGTTTTCTGTCCAGATTGAGTCTGGTACTCCTCGCCCTCCCTTACGACCATGACACGGCCTTCAACATCGTGATCGCGACCAGTGAGCGAGAAAGAACTTGCGGTAGTAGCCTCATTTGATTGGATATTCATAGTCCCACTTTCTTCGGTCATCATTTTCGGCACGCAGAAGGTACCTTCAAACTACTAGCTCCACACCTGATGAGCTGATAATTCTTACAGGACATCCTCACAGCATGGAGCTCCCTCTACTACTTCATGGTTCGGAGAGGTCGCCGACTAGAGCACGGCGCGGACACTTGGGAAACATTGACCCCAACAGAAAGCCAACAAACATTGAATCCGTACTACTCAAGCCCGCGCCGCCCACCTCACGCTCGCATATCTAGGATTGCTAGATGACAAATATCAAGAGGTAGAATTGTACTTTTATACACTTTGCGCTTGTGCCAGGCATGTGGCATGCAAGGGTCACAATTTGAGAATCTGAAGATGTCCGACTAGTAGCGGTAGATCTCTTCCCAGAGATCGTGTCTGTCTGGAGTATCTGGCGCATTCAGCGAATTTAGAAATGGAGTTTTCGAGCTGTAAGACATTCAACAAAGCTCAGCAAACGAGAACAACTCACGCCGAGGGATCAGCATATGTATGTTTAGGCACATTCTTCGTTTTAAAGGCCCAGTTGTCCCCAAACCGGAGTAGTTTCTTCAACGAAGTTTCCGGTGGCAGAGCCGGCCAGATCATGGTCGTACTACCGATGAGAAATTCAGCCAATGGACGCCCGCAATCATGGAGCTCCTGGATAGCGAGTCCGCTCACAAATCTGAAACCGGACAAGACGATACGCCGAACTTGCGGAATCATCGTTGCATGGTGTAAGGTAAGTTGTTTTACGAGTGCGGTCGCGGAAACTGTCTCGACAGACAGCTGGAACTCTTCTATCAGCTGCAGAGCGCAAGAGCGCAGAATAGTTCCCAGTGTTCCAACAAGGTTTTCCGACGACGGCATGAGAATCTGCAGATGCAAAACCTTCAAACAACATTCCGACCGATCGAGAAATCCGAGAAGAGGTGTGGCATGAAGCAAGCAGAAGGGGAGCACTACAACGAGTTTGCGGAGTGATCGTGCCTTGGCAGTAAAGTTGGCAAAGGATGGTGAATGCTCTGTTGGGCCCAGTAACGCAATCGTCAACTCCTCAACAGAAGTATCGATTGTCTCGAGACCCCATTGACTGGGCTCCTCACGGATGCGATTGACTCGCCCCTGGATTAGTAGTACGATGTGGACTGTAGAAGGTGATGTCTTCAACAGGGAGAGGGCCGCAGGAAAAGAGCAGTCATTGAAGAAGCATGTTTTGAGTTGATTGACAATGGGCCGCAGATTATTGAAATCGTCCTGGTGGCCATATGTCACCGTAAGGTGAGCCAACGCCGGGAACGAAAGATGGTCGAGGGGGAATGTACGAGTATGTGCAGCGAAGCATAGAGATGAGAGCATAGGGAATTTGACAGTTTTTAGCAATCTTGTGACCATGCTCTGACGGTAGGGCAAATCTAAATTCGCGCTTTGCCACCGGGCGGCCTCCCCGAGGAGCATCATGGATATCTCTCTGAGGAACCGACGTGCAGGCGAAGCGGAAATATGAACGTCGGAAATATGAACGTCAAGTGCCAACGGCATGTTGGCTGACGCAGATATGTAGAACGCCGTCCGGTCTAGAATTTGTTTCTGTGTGGGTGTGTAGACGTAGGAGTCAGCTGAGTCGGACTCGAGGAGCTCTGAATCTTCGTCTTCCTCTTCGTCAACTAGGTGAGACAGTGTTGAACTATCCTGGAAGACGACGCGGATTCTACGCCACAAGATAGGAGAGCCCAGTATTGTTTCCTTCCACAGTCGTGACACCCGCATTAGTGGAAGTAGTTTGTCGGAATAGCCTCCACGATTTGAACGAGAGTCCGTCGGAATCAAAGAAAATATGCGGACGAGAAGCTCGTCAGGCAAAATACCACCGTGGCCCATAAGGCTCCCAGAATAAGTGAATTTAGTCACAGGCCTAGAATTGAGATATCAATTCGAGGCATTTGGGGAAAGAGATTTAGGCCCACATACCGTCGTTTTATGCAAGTTTTGAGAGGTTTTGAGTGGGTTCTGAACAAGTAGGTCACAGTGATGGGCCAACACACGTGAGGCTCACGTGCCCGCAAAATGCCTTGGCCATTCACGACATTACCTTGTCCTCAACTCGCACCATGTTCTTCACACCGACGCGTCCCATAAAGCCCCTTCCGACCAGGCCCGCTCAGGGATACTTCGTCTTCCCTCCCAGCCACCAATCCAGCGTGGATGCACAGCCCACACCCACACCCCAATCGACCGATGAATTCCTCGCTGAAGAGAAGCGTCGCCGAGAGGCTGCGTTGGATGAAGCATGGGCCGCTCGTAGACTCCGTGACGAAGCCGCGCGAAAACGCCGACAAGAGCTGGAGGCCGCCGAGGTGCTGAAAAACGAGATGGCATGGGTGGCATCTGGTGGAATCCTTCGTGACGCCAACTACGAGCGGGACTACGTTAGAACCGAGGCTCTGCGCAAAGAAATTGCGCTGTTGGCCCACGAACGGGTGCTCACCGAACGCTGGCAGAAGTACGAGTCAGGTTGGACTGCTCTCAACACCAGCAACGGTGTTGTCCGCTTCGCAGACATTCCTTGGCCCACTACGCCCCGTCCAGACTCGGACTACGACTATGTGATCCTGCAAGACCTAACAGTAGACCGTATCCGTGCGTTTCTGCTCGATCCTTTGGAGGTGCGAGGATCGACCGTGACAAAGAAAGAGAGAACCCGAGCAAGTCTGTTGAGGTGGCATCCCGACAAGATGACTGGCCTCATTTCACGCGTTGCACCCGACGAAATGAAGGCTGTTCACGAGGGAGTCCACCAGGTGATTTTGGCGTTGCAGAGCCTGAACTCTTGAAAAGGACACGGGTGCGTCGCTCATTCCTTTTTGTCCATTATACCCTCAGATGTTTTCTTTCAGATGTTATCGTTTCTTGCTTTGTACCTGCTTTCGCTTTGCTCTGAATCAAACACGACACGATGTAATTACCTCTTATTTCATCAAGGATATATCAAGAAGAGAATACTGTGGAAGACTCGTCAGATTATGTCGGCAGTACCGGCCCGCAAGTAATGACCTCTGCTATCCGCCTAGGAGTATGTGGACTAGCCTTCTCTGTCGACGGCGCTGGGATGTCAGACTTGTTCGTCGATTACTCGCGATATTTTCTTCTGCCACAGTGTCGCCATTTTAACGAGATTTGATGCAGCCTTTTCACGCTCGTCTACTCCCGCTTCTAAGTACTTTGTTCTTCGAGCCAAAGCCGATCAAGATGAACCTCCCAATCGTCGTTTATCAAATTTATCGGAGAAAAGCGTTCATTCGGCGGTCATGTTGACTGATCCATGCTTTAGATGGATGGTCGTCGATGGCCGTGATCGGAAACTGGCAAGGGAAATCTCAGGGCCGCATTGGATGGTGTCCACTGGTACCCTGGTACATTATGGGTTCGGAAGGCGAGGAAGATGCCGAAATGGATAATATTTACTTCAACATGCGAGGGGCGCTGCTGCTCCCCCCGGCCCCGGGCGCATTCTTTCATCAGCCAGAAAACAAAAGGACTGATTACATATTGTGTGTTCACAGTCACCCATACTGCACTATATGTGGTGTACCAGACTTGTCCAATTGCTATTTCTTGACATGCATCGACTTCATCTTTGTTGGGTAGTGCAAAAGGCCAGACACTGGCAGCACTTTTAGAACGTACATAGGCCGGCATCATTCGGTCCGAATCGATCGACGAGGCGAAGGATGTTGTGACGTATGTGTCACGCCGACTTTTTGTTGTTCTCATTGCTCTGTGTGTCCATGATCTACTACTATCCAAGTGACATCTCGGCTCCCTCTGTTGCTTGCGACACCCGTTCATGACCGAGCCCTCCAATTCCATTCCTGACTCGGGCACTTTTGCTGTGCTCACCATCGATCCTGTGGCCTCCGTAGACTACTTGGAGGACCCAGAGGCTACTGCCGCCAGCGCTGAACTCGCCAGCAGGCATTATGTGATATGTGATGTTGCAGTGAGTCGAGTCCTTCACAGCTGTCCATCTCAACCGTCCTCCAGCTCAAATCAATCTTCAATACTCTGGCTGCGTTTCGCGAAGAGCGCGTGTACTTTGTTCAGCAAGGCCCACCACAGGCTATCCCTGCCCAACTCGTCGATGCCAGCATGTCAATCCCCATCGCGCCCCAAACTTGCAGCGTCGATGACCATCCGTCGAAGCGCGAGCCAGTCAAGATGGCGACCAATCCGTTCCCATTCCCAGACTGTTATTTGTCAGCTTTTGCGAGTGCTAAGGTGCGCACCGCGAATGTCGAAGTTGCGGAGTCAGCCATATGCGAGATGGAGGAAGAAGAACGGTTTCGTGTCCTCGAATTGATAGAGGATGATTTCGAGCTCCACCTCGATCGCCTACAGGAGCAACAAGAAGCGGTCGACAAGAGAGACGAGCACGAAATAACCCTAGAACATATGGAGCAGGAGGAGCAGAGCGAAGTAGAACTGGATGAACCAATCGACGAGGCCGACGAAACAGTTGCCGTCTTCCGTGGCCTGCTTTCGCGCCAGCCTTCAGAGACCCTCCCTGTAGTCAGGTTTACCTACGACCTCTCTCGAGTTAAAGAGGTCAACGACCCTCGTGGCTTCTGGGTTGAAGTGGAAAAAATCACCCAGTGGGTTACCACTTTCAAAGTTGGCAGCAGAATATTTTCCTAACGTGACTGCTAGAATCGCTGAAGCGTCGAAAGCACGAAGAGAAGCAAACAAGAGTGCTGTGGCTGAAAAGGATGCAGCGCTGTACGATAGTCGAATGGGTATGTCAAATTAGTTTTCCCTTCATCATAGAGAACTGACTCGTTTCAGCCGAGTTGTTACAAAGCCACCACGCTTCGCAAGCTGCAGGCTTCCGCATACCACGAATCATTACCCGCGGTGTTACCCGTGCCAAATCGCTGTTGTGTCGGATACTTTGCATGGCCCCGGGCTCGCACGCCATATAACCCAGATATACCCATCACTACTTATTGCTCTGCTCCGCCGCTGCTTTCTATATGCTTTCTACAAGTTGTATGTTGTTGTTGTTGTTATACGGTAATAATGCCTCCCCTGTGTGTGAACTTGAATGTCTGGTTTTAAATTACTTGCACGTGACTCGAGCTTTTTTTTTTTTTTTTTTTTTGTATCTGCATTTATATACCGCAACAAGTACACTAACTACTAAGACGCGGTGGCCGGGACGGCGGATCCGTCTGGCCGCTCGACAGGGTGTTGCGGTGGGATTGGTTTCGGTCTGGATGTGGTGTAGCGAATGGCGGGGAGGGTTTGACACGGTCTGGACTAGCTGTGCAGTCCTGCGAGGTTGTTGGCGTCGGGCCGTAAAGCATGGAGCATGTAGCATAGCATAGCATCTGCCCTTGTTACGCTCTTGTTACCAACCGCTTTTGTTTTCGCATTGGTCTGTGGGCGAGATGGCCTATACTCTTTCTTTCATACACTGCACTACCTCTTTCTGCCCATGTCCGAGGACGCCCACTACGTTCCCAGCAGGGGAACTTTCTCCGTCATGACCATTGACCCCATTGCGTCTGTTGAATACCTGGACGACCCGGAGGCGACTGCTGCCAGCGCGAAGCTCGTCAACAACGGCTATGTGATATACCTCCCCGGGGTGGGTGCATCCTCCCTCTGCATGGCTGTCTGAACTTGCACAGATTAGAACCCTCTTCAGTCCACGAGCCGCTTTTCGCGAAGAAGACCCATACTTTGTTCAGCAAGGCCTGCCCCAGGATATTCCGGCTCAAATGATCGATGCTGGCATGTCGATTCCGATTGCCCCCCAAACCCGTAACGTCCACGACCATCCTTCCAAACGTGAACCCCTCAAGATGGCGACCAATCCATTTCCGTGGCCGGACTGCTACCTGAGCAATTTTGCGACCGTGACTGTGCGCAATGCGAATGTCCGTGTCGTGGACAGCGTCGTCTGCGAGCTTGACAAAGACGAACGGTTCCGCGTTATCAGCTTAATGGGCCAAGACGAGGAACGTCGTACGGACCGCCTTGAAGAAAGAGAAGCGGCCGAAAACCAAGAGCAGCACGAAAACTCTCAGAAGACTCGATTAGTATGCTCGGTACCGAGAAGGGGGACGAGACTGAAGAAGAACTGGAAGAAGCAGAACCGGAGCCAATCGACGAAGCCGAAGCGATTGCTATCTTTCGCGGTTTGCTGTCGAACGAGGTTTCGCAGCAACTTACGACGGTCAAGTTTACTTATGACCTCTCTCGCGTCGAGGAAATCCATGATCCCCGTGGATACTGGGAAGAGGTGGAAAACATTGCTGAGTGAGTTGTATGTTGCGTACCTGCGTCTTACTCATGTGAATCGTAGAATTGTGAAGGCGTCTAAGGCACGAAAAGAGGCGGTCAAGATTGCTGCGGCTGAGGGAGATGCGGCACGGTACGATGACAGAATGGGTATGTCGCATAGGTATAAACGTTGCAGTGGTCGAACTCAAGTTTTGTCCTAGCTGAGCTATTGCAAGGCCATCAAGCTTTAAGCGCCACAGCTGCTGCTGCTCCAGTCGTCGACACATCCGCTATACCACTTTCCCCAACTGCGTCCATAGAAAAGGGCTCCGCTAGTCGCCGGATACGTATACCATCATTGGTCACTCAGAGTCTCACCACCGCCAAAGCGCTGTTACGTCGCATACTCTGCATGTCCCCCGACTTGCACGCTGCATAACCTTGCGCATCAGATATACTCACCTGCTTTGCTGCGCTGTTGCTTTCGAAATGCTTTCTACAAGTTATTGTTACACGGCAATGGTGCCAATCTGAATTTCTACTCAGGCTGTGTATCTGGCCAGTGGTTTATGTGATTCCTGTAATGCAAAATAAGTTTTCCCACGCTCAGCTTAAACACATCCTGATAAAGCTTGTTCCAAAATGCCGTATGGCTTGTCTAGCATAAATATTTCTCGTGTACTGAGTTGAGTTTTACAATTACGCCCATGTCGATGAAAGAATCAGAAAGATGGGTTTGGCGATACCATAGCCCATAGTAGCTCGAATCCTTTATTTGTTCGGGAATGCATTCTTCCTCCTCGATAAGATGAGAAGGGTATAACAAAGGTGATGGCGCCTCGAGATGTCTGAATAGAGCGAAAATAGAGCGTTCGAAAATGGCGTCGCCTGTGTCACAAATTTACGCGCCACGACTGCCAGTGCCAGTGTCACAGTCGATTGTTGTTTTTCTTGATCACTCGTTGCTCTGTGGGTGTGGGTGTCCATGATCCAGACAGCTTGAGTGACAACATGCTTATTGTCCTTCATTCCCTCTCTCATGAGCAAGTTGGGCACTTTAATTCCTAATCCAGGCTCTTTCGCTGTGCTCACTGTCGATCCTGTGGCCTCCGTAGACTATCTGGAAGACCCTGAAGCCACCGCCGCCAGCGCCCAACTTGTCTGCAAGGATTATCTGATATGTGCTGTCTCGGTACTTATGCCCTTTGTGGTCTTTAGTTGGATCCCTTTTTAACTTTCCACAGATTCGGACGATCTTCAGTCCTCTGGCAGCGTTTCGCCAAGAACATGTGTTATTTGTTCAACAAGGCTTACCGCAAGACTTTCCTACCCAACTGGTCGACGCTAGCATGTCGATTCCAATTGCCCCCCAGAACTACACTGTTCACGATCATCCGTCCAAGCGGGAACCACTCCAGATGGCGACCAATCCGTTCCCATTCTCAGACTGCTATTTGTCTGCCTTTGCAGCCGCTCATGTACGGACCGCAAACGTCGCAGTCACGGAGCCCATTATCTGCGAGCTTGTTAAGGCGGAGCGAATGCGTGCCATGTACATAACGGAGGAGGATTATGAGCTGCGTCTTGATCGTCTCCAGGCGCAAGGGAAGAAAGAAGAAGAAGCGGTTGATGAAGGAGAGAAGCATGAAACGGCCCCAGAACACGATACCGCCAGTGAGATGCATGGTGGTAATCAAGCACTATCCGAGGATGAACCAATGGACGAAGCGGAAGCGCTCGCCATTTTTCGTGGCTTGCTGTCGGACGAACCCCCAGAGCACCTCCCCGCTGTCAGGTTCACCTACGACCTCTCTCGTGTTAAAGAAATCAACGATCCCCGTGGATTCTGGGAGGAACTGGACAAGATCGCCAAGTAAGTTCGCACCTCAGGTTGCCACATATATCACCTAATTCCGAGAACAGAGTGGTCAAAGCCTCCCAGGCAAGAAGGGAAGCGGACAAGGTTGCTATTGCTGAGAAGGATGCAGCGCGTTACGATAGTCGAATGGGTATGTCAACTCAACTTTCGTTCTCTCCTCATCTTGTGGAACTCATTCGTTCAAGCCGAGCTATTGGAAAACCACCAAGCTTCGAAGATGGATGGTCTCCGCATACCACGAATCTTATCTCGTGGTGTTACTCGTGTCAAATCGCTGTTGCGTCGTATACTTTGCATGTCTCCCGCCTCTCACACTACATGACCGTTGTGCTATTGTGCTCGAAATGTTTTCTCAAGTTGTACAGAACTAGAATCCCTCGACATGTGTGGTTTTCGCTATGCTAGCAAATGCACGTGGTATCCGAGTTGTTGTTACATCCCAGTCTGAATTTCTAAGTACTCAGGCTGTGTATCTGTAGTTTGTACCTGTAATGCAAAATAAGTACGTTTCCCCTGCGCTTAGCTCAAACTTATCCTGATAAAGCCTGTTCCAAAATGCCGCATGGCCTTTCTACCTGAATATTTCTCGTGGACTGAGTCACTTGCCAATGATGTAACCCGGCCCGGAGTCAGGGCCGATAGCATCATGACAACCTTTTTGAGTTTTACGCCCATGTCGATGAAAGATGGGTTTGGCGATACCATGATAGCCCAAGTAAGTACTAGTAATAAGTCATGAGAAATCTACCCTGATATTATTATGTGTATGGGCTTGTACGACGAAGTTCCAAATTCCCGTCAGCCCTTGTCCGGAACTCCTCCTGAGTAACGAGGAGCCCACTGAACCGCAACAGTCGGCAATTGCCTTGGTTCTCAAGCATGCGAGACATGAACTAGAGCAGCTTGAGCGCGAGACCAACCATACCTCTCAAACGTTTGTTGCGTCTCGAGACCAGTTATATGCTTTTCTGGATTCACACCGCCATGTCCTCTCCGCGGTGCGGCGGCTTCCGACCGACATCCTGCTCGAAATTTTTTCCCATATCAAACCAGAGCTGTCAGACACATGCTCTTCGTCGAACAAACTCCTCCTCCTCCTCCGGGTATGCAGACGATGGCGAAATCTGCTCTTGATGTCTTCGCCATCCTTATGGTCAAACCTGTCAATCCATTTGGAGCGGAGCGAAACAAACCTGCGTGTTATAGACCGGCTGAAGTCGAGAATATCACTCATCTTGCGCGCTTCACAGCCCGTGCCGCTGACCATCGCGTTGACGCTTCCATCTGGACACCCAGCCTCTGTCAACATTCTCGACTTGCTCCTCACTGAGGCTTGTCGTTGGAAAGACGTGTCATTCTGCATTGACACCATCCATTACAACTCGCTCGCTGTCCCTAAACACACCTTTCCATTACTTACGCGTTTGGCTATCCGACTCACCCAATCGGGGCTGCCGGACAGTGCAAGCCCGTTCTTCGCGAACCTCCCTGCGCTCTCTGACTTCCGACTAAAACCATCTGCAAGTCCCGTTCGCTGGGGTATCTTCGGGTCAAAAATCTGGCCGCATCTGAGGAGTTGTTACTTGGAACAGTGCTCGGTACGGGACGCATTGACCCTCCTCCCCCAATTTTCACCGCTGTCGCGCATAACCTTCGCCAACTGTACCACGAAAATCGAACACGCAACGGCCACCTGGGCCACCGTTGACGTGGCGGTCTCCGAGTTGAGCATCAAGAATTGCAATGGCCGGTTTATAGTCGAGCTCCTAGGCGCAATCGCGGCCCAAGAACTGCGAAAACTGTCGGTCGTGGTCCAGAACTATGACATTACCCATAGCGCCCATGTCCTCCCGGCCATCCTCCGCTGCTTGCGGTCGCCGACACTGACTCATCTCCGCCTCGCCAACCCAAATCTTCCGCCAGCCCATTTCACGTCGGACTTGCTGTTGCTCTTGTCCTCTCCCGCCGCCCAGGGAATCGTTGACCTCGACCTCGATTTACGCAACTTCAAGAGCGCCACGGTCATCCTACAAGCTCTCGCTGCCCCGTTCACAGCCCAGCCCTTAGTACCCGAATTGCGATGGCTCTCGCTCCGTGGATGCAGCTATATCAGAGGGAACGACGTGGCCGCGCTGCAAGAGAGCGATCACCGCAGGAATACGCTGGCCGAAGTCTGGCTCGAACGCAAAATTAGTTGGTTGCCCCAGGATTTTGTTGTTGGCGCGAATCCTCAGGTGAGAACCTTTGCGGGATAGCAAGTGCAAATGTTTGTACCATTACTATAAGTATACAACTATTCCATATATCAAGTCGAGGCGAAACCCAGAGGGCAGAGGCTCATTAAAGCGCTCATTCCTTGACCGATGATGACATAAGCGCTGCTCACAGCGCCATCTAGCGTGTGCTCGGTAATTGCTCAACAACTCCCAGAAGAGCCTACGCGCGGCATTTTTTCTTGCTCGGCAGACATAATGGGCAGCAAACTACCTCTTTTCCATGCACCAGACCAAAACCTGTCTCCCGCTTTCATTCCCCTCGAAACATCGCGCCCAAGTCGACGCGTTGCACTCCATCTATGTGCCGGTTAATGTTAACGAGACACTCATTTACCCCCGCTTTGATCCTGGAGCAGAAAATGACACTCAGCTTTGCGTGAAAGTTTCCGCCGACTACCAGGGTTTGTTCTAACCACATCTCGCTTGCCTTTCTGTTTTGTTGACAATGGTTTCAGGACTGACAGCAACTTCGATCTGGCTAGCCCAACTTCGTTTAATGGACGAAGTCAACCCGGGCGGAGTATCCACCTTCAACGGCAACCTGTCTGTGTATCGCGAACGTGGTGGTAAATTCCTCACATTCCACGGGCGGATGGATCCCGTATGTCTATTCTCTCTCATATCAATATATTTGCACTCAAATAACTGGCTAAGCTCATTGCATCGGGCAACTCCAAGCGCTATTACCTTGTCGCCAAGACCCTAGGTCCCGGGATGACTTCTACCGTCCTGATTCCTGCGATGAGCCACTGTGCAGACGGACCAGGGGCTTATAAGTTTGGACAACCACAGTCGGTTCAAAGAACGATGCACAACATAATATTCTTTTGGCTCTTGTCGATTGGGTCGAGGGTGGGGTTGCGCCAGACACCATTGTGGGGACGGCTGATAACGGTAGCACCAGAATGGCCGCTATGGGTCTGCTTTTATTTGCGCAGACCGAATCTCATACCTATATCTATTTCATTCTTTCTCTTATAGCACGCACTATTCGGTTTGCTTGAATTTTGCTTGTGTTTGATCCGCTTGGAGGTCTTGGCGAATTCCAAGCGATGATTATTGATGCGACCAAAGCTGTGAACAACTTCCTTTGCTTTCGACGGCCACCATGCCTCTTTCTGCGCGGACTGTAGCCATAATGTGAGCTCCTGTTATATAGAAAGCGCTGCGCCTTCTCTAACATGATCAGATGGGGTCTGTAGCTCTCCATTGACCGTGAACCCGCGCAAGTTCTGATCCGTTTCACCATAGGCGGAGTAGCTGTAATCGACTTTGCGTGAGCGGTCATCCTTTCGTCGCCCAGTATCTGAAGATAGCATAGTGTGGTCGTACTCCTCAGCATCGTCCTCGCGTCGCGTACCAACCAGTAACTTATCTGCTGCCTCTCACTCACTCGCACTGACGCGTCGCACCCAGTTCTGCAGAATGGTACCGCATTGCGCTCCTCATCATCGCATTTCTCGCCGGGCTCGCCGCCACATACAACTGCTGGCGCAGTCTCCGCATCCACAAGCTGCAAACCCAGGTCCAGGCCGCAGCCGCCCACCAATTACCATCGTATTACGCGCATACGGCGCCGCCTGGAGCTGCCCCTATCCGATGACCAGCAAGACTGCAGCGTTTGTCTCGATTTGACCAAGCAATTTACTCGAGAATACTATGTCTAGTGCTATATTCACTCATGTATTATCCAACATTGACAATTTAAATAACACTGGTGAATTGCTACTGTTTGCGAGGTAAACATATATAAATAAGTTGGTATAAGAGTCTCCGCCTTAGGTACAAGGCATACAATATGCTTAAATAATGCTTTGCTTGTGGTGGAGGCATCGCACAATAAGCAAACAATGTTTCAAACCATACAACATGTTTGCGGGCAGGTGGGATCATGCAAGACTACTACTTAGTAGCCCAACTGTCAGAATCTTGGTGAAAGGGTTATTCTTTTGAATTCAATCTTATCTAATCTAATAGATCTTGTTCTGAGGACGGCTTTGATCTTTCTCCGGCCACGGCGCCAGTCTCGAGTTTAAGGTTTTCCCGGACATGGAATCTGTACCTGAGGAGCATGCGCTACCCGGCCGTCGTGCGAAAACTACAGTGGGGTAACGCAGGGGTACCTCGCTTATTATTAGATGTAGAGTTACAGTAAGCGTTTTTCACGGAGGTCTTGGCTCTTGTGAATGTTCAGGAGTCTAGGAGGACTGGAATTGTTTTTGGATTCTTCCACGGCACGACCTGGTGAATGCCACTTTAGCCGCAACTAATAGCAATATCATGCGTCAGTGGCCGCGGCTAAATTTCGCGGCCCTTATTTGTCAATGCGTTGTGGCTAGGTGGCGCGCTCTATACAACTTGATATATGTGCAATGTGTGGGTGGTGGATGCGTATGCGTATGTAGGATGAGTGTAATGTGTCTTGTAGATGATGCAAGAAGAACAACAAACAACAACAATGCCAGGATGGAAGAAAGTAAGTGAGTGTAGCGAAAGGCCTCAAAACCAAAGAAAAAAAGGGCAAATAACGAACGAAATTGAGCGCTGAGCCTCCTCTTGCTCAGCGTCGATCATACATCCTCCCAGACACGGCACTCGATTCACTCGTTCGCTCGCCGGTAAACCCTCCGCCCCGATTCATGAGCGCCTCCGCACTCGAATTAGCAGTCCCCCCGGCTCGCAAAAGACTGAACGAGCCTCGATACTGGTGTTCTTGTTGGTACAGCTGAGCAGCGGACGGCGAAGCAAATGCGCTCTTGCGGAACTTCTTGTCCTTATCCCTATCCTTCTCCTTTTCTTTTTTGGTCGTCCGCGATCTAGACGGCAACAGCTTTCCCAACCCACTCGCACCCTCCTTCTTCGCCTTTGGCGGAGGCGAAGCGAACGAACTCTGGGTGCTGTTGGGGTGATGCGGCCAACTCTCGCTCGAGCCTGCGTATCCATGACCATGCCCAGAAACAGACGAGTCATACGCCCCTCCATATGTTGCGTTAGGAAGAGATGCGATCGACCCGCCAGTCGACATCAGCATTACCGGAGGCGGCACGCTCGCAGGTAGTCTCGCCTGGCTGGCCTCGTACATATACCGCATCTCATGCCCTTGGCCTTCAAGCTGGCCACTTTGAACTGGAGCTTTCGCTTTTTGCTGTTCCAGTCTCCACATCTCGCTGGGCGCCATTGCCTCCCCGCCAAAACCATTGAGACTGCTGTCGGCAGAACGCGACCTCTGGTGAGCCCTCCTGTCGTTGTTCCTGGATGGTAATGCTGGCACCATTTCCATGCCCATCCCTGCGGCACTGGCCAACGGAACTGGCGGCGGGGCGGGCCGCGTATTTCTCCGCCGCCTTCTGCTTCTCGTACTCCGAGCTCTAGAAAACGTGCTCCTCGCGTCGTTGAATGTCGACTTGGCATCGCTGTTGTTGTTAAATGACGGCGCTGGTGAATCGACAGATACGATGTCTGACCCAAGACCAACATCCATGTCATCGTCCAAGTCCTCGTCGCTTGAATCAGAGAATATCATGTCATGGTCAACTGATGCCCGCCGGGCATAACGAATTGGAGAAGGGCTTCTGCCCCGTCTTCCCCGATCCGCGCCTTCATCAGCGATGTCGTCGAAACCGTCGTCATACAAGTCAAGGTCATCGATATCGGCATCCTCATCGTCGGGATCAAGGACATTCCTCCGCGAGGCAAATCGGGGAGGCGAGAGCAACACCCCGTCCATTTCTTCTTCTCCCACTTGTCCTTCCAGCGCCGCAAGCCAGGCTTGTTTTGGGTCACGCTCGCTGATTGCGCTATCTGGGCCTTCAGAATCGTCCCCAATTGGATGCGAATGAATGGGTGGAGTCTGCGCTCGTGGTGATTGAGGGCTGACACCCCTGCTGATATCCAGAGTGGGGCTGTTGACATCCATAGGGGAATGTAATTGGAGTCTCCGTCGCTCCCGTTTGTTAGGCGACTTGTTGTGCTCCGTATCCCATCTGCCATCAGACGACGTATTCGGCGTTGCTAAGGGGCCTGGGCTTGTTGCAGTCGTTTCTGCATCGCTAACACTGTAGTGCCAGGACGATCCATATCCAGTCGAGGGCGTAGAAGTGTCTGTTCCATAAGTGCTTGGACTACTAGTGAACGCAGTGTTGGTCGAGCCATCGCGACGGGCCATCAAAACCGCTGACATCTTTAGTGGTGGGGGTTGTGGGGATACGCTCCTTGGTGGTGGAGGTGGAGGAGGAGGTAGAGCGGCCGTGATAGGTGAGGATTTTCGTGCAGAAATAGGCAGCGGAGGAGGCGGGGGCGGGGGAATAAATGATTTTGGTGCCGGACCCATAGGAATAACGTTTTGAGTCGCTATCGTAGGAGGCAAAGTATCTGTTCCTCTACGAATTGGATGTTGCAAGGGCGGTGGTGGAGGTATAGGCGGTAGTTGTTGCTGAGGCGGTGGTTTAGAGCTTGAAGGAGGCGATTGAGCGGAGTAGGCAGTCGAGGAGGCTGAGGACAAATTGGGGATGTATACTGGGATAACAAGTGGTAAAGGCATCGTTAAAGACGGATTGCGAGAATGTGCAGGTGAAGACGTATTGCTTCGAATACCTGTACACCCATGAATTTGCGCATGCACTCAAAAAACCGCATAAAACGCACCAGGAGCATTGCTCGACAAACTGCTCTTGCGAGGCGTCAAGTTGCCAGAGACCGAAGGACCACTAGTCGTGGTGCGTAAAATCCCGCCACTGATTTTCCTCTGGAGGGGTGGACTACCACCAATGACGGAATCGCCACTACCTTTCCGGACGACATCTGAACTAGTCTTGCGTCGCAAATTGGTCAAGCTGGGTTGCTTTGTCGTTGCTGTACTGGTTCCCGAACTCGTTTTTCGCGTCAAGGAGGGCCGTCGATCTGAGCTGGCGGACGTTGTGCGCGTCCTTGTTCGATCTGGAATCAATTCCATTAGCTTTCGTCTAGAGGAAAAAGTATAAGACTCACCTCGACTGGAACTCCTCACATTCCCACTACTTGCATCTCCTGCAGAACTTCCTTGATTTCGGGGATGCGAAGCCGCCGCAGGTCGTGGTGCCCATACTCCGGAGACACCTTCGAATTGCATAGTCGGTGACCGCGTTATTTGGGCTGCATGTCTTTGAGGTCTGAACATTAGTATTGGGGAAAGAGGACCCAAAAGGCTAAACGTACGAATACCCGGTCCTATCTTGATTAGCATTAACCGCGCGAAATGCCGTTGCTTCTGGAGTACGAGCCCGTTGTTGGGGCTGTCGCGAAGATGAGGAAGTAGAAGACGTAGGTTTTTGGGGCGATTTTAGCTTCGGCGGTTGACTAGGTCCCGCAATGGCGTTGGAAGAAGAGGCGGAGGCCACTGGTGTTGTTGGGGGAGGGAGTGGTAACGGTCGTGTAGACGTTGTCGAAGACGGTGATACTGGCCCTGGCGACACGGTTCCACCTATCGTGGCAGACGCGGACGCTGGGTTTGGCGACAAGAGCGCGTTATTTGTGACGCTTGTGGTCGACGTATCACCGATACTGGCCCTCCGCTTTCCCTTTCCCGTATCTCGCTCAGCGCTTGGCTTGCGTTTGAATGTGGTAGAGCCTACGCTGACCGTATCGAGCGGGGGCGGAACAGGCAATGGCCGCGTGCTGGGAGGAGTAGGCCGCCATGGACCAGCACTGCTAATCGGCAGTCGAGTTTGCGATTGCGACCTCCGTCCTCCAATACCCATTCCCACCGCAGAGGTCCCAGTTTGGTAGGCTTCAGGTGGCCCTAAAGTGCCATGATGTACGACTGTCCAGCCTGCAGACGAAGTCGTTGGATATACCAGCGCCGCTGGTGTGTTGGGCATCGAATGTGGTTGTCGTTGATTGTGGAGGTGGCCTGAAGGACCGGAAGTAGATGTCGAGGGTGCCATAGTCATTAATTTTGATGTTTCCGACTGGACGATTGCGGAAACCGACATCCTATCGCCCTTCTCAACGAACCAACTCGCACTTGAGAGCTGGTGTTGTAGAGAGAGAGAGAGAAGAGCGCGACGTCCCGGCCGGGGATAATCCTGCCAAATCAGCACCCCCATCAACCAATCTAATGTGACAGCGATCAGAATCTGAGACATCAACCACTCCTTGCGCTTAGTCAGGCCGACTTCTGAAACGCGGGTGTTTGTACATACGCCGCTTGCGCAAATTGCGCGATACCAGTAGCGGCCCCCCGCTTGTTTGTTGTCGGGTGGATCGTGGTGATGCGGCAAGGTGGTTTATGCGGATGAAACGAAAAGGTACCGAGCCAGAGCTTTCCAGGTACGACTACTTGCTCTTACTTCTCCTTTAGTTTCGTCCACCTATCAATGATCGACTTTGGTCCATATTTAGGCTCGCCTTGCCTTCACATGCAATTATACACATTGCCCGCACGAACACACCTATTCAGAAGGCTTCCTGGAACAAACCTCGGCGGCTTCGCGATGCTGATTTTGTTGATGGTCCTTTCGGGCGCCCATGGCCACATTTGAGAGTTAACCAAGCGTCAACCAATCCGACGCAGGCTCCTAAACCAACCCTCGTTGCAGAGCGCAATCCGAGGGTGTATTTCAGGCTGAATATGTATTAATTTACAATAAATAAATAAATGTGACATGATGTTACGAAGAGTTTTGGCGTGCGCTCTGCAAGAGGGCTGGCCCAGCTAGCCCGGACCGACCACCGAAGCAGTGCACTTATCTCCGGTTAGCGTTACCGCCGCTCGACCTCTCTCCCTCATCTACACCGTTCCGCTACCAAGGCACCACGCAGGATGCCTCAGTATTCTCAATGCCGTTGCAGCTGTCAACACCGCAATCCCCAACTTCATCCATATCAGCCTCACACATGCGCCATCGATGCAGCATGACAGTCACTGGGTTTCTGTCGGTGGGTTTGAGGGGTGGTGGATGGTGGGCTCACACGCGCAAATCCTGAGCAGATGCGTTTGGGGCCGTGGAGTGGAGGGGCCCAGTTATCCTGGCAGAGGGAGGGACCCAGAAGGTGTTGACGATTTGATGGCAGGCCAACCGGAGATATTCGGTGGTCGGTCCGGGCTAGCTGGGCCAGCCCTCTTGCAGAGCGCAACCCCAACTCTTTTCGTCACACATGTCACATCTTTTGATTTTGAGTGAATTCGATACATATATAGCTAATAATCACTCTCTAAAAATTGGCCTTACTAGCTCTGCAACGAGGGCTGGTTTAGGAGCCTGATCCGACGACCCGTTAGCCACACGATAAACTATTCCATCATTCAAGTTTAGACCGAATATGGGCATGAGGATCGCACGTCGCAAGTTACACGTTCGGCCGAATGCCCGCTCCCGCCACTCAAGTGTGCTTTGCAACGCTCATGAGATGGCGAGTCGGTCGTTGATGCTGTCCCAGGACCTATGATATCCGCCCTTGAACCTCAACAACATAACTTGTTCCGCTTATTGCGTACTGGGTTGGGCCTCAGATGCACATGCTCCTCGGGCGAACAATGATTGAGCAACACAACTCGCAGCACACAGTGCAAGTTTTTACCGGCGTCCCGAACAGAACTCCAAGTTCCACAAGTCGCCATCGGTATTTCGGTCTCGCAGGCGGCGGTGTTACTTTGGCCTCCCGACTGGTCGGACGCCTCTTCAGACACCGCGTACCTTGGAGGCCTGCACGATCACGACTCACAAGCAGTAAATTTCACGCCGGGTGACGAAAAGAAAGTAAAACTTTCGTGAAACTGCACCATGACAGTTTGTGGACGCAAACGCCTCGCTTCACATGCATCCCTTGATACATTCCGTTCTTTTATACTTTCATCCTTGCCTCGGGAACCGCTGGGCATCACAGCGAGGAAAAACGCAATCTGCCAGGCCACTGTTGTGCCACTGTCTGTCACCGTCTAATCGCCTCTGGCCTCTCTGCGTCTCACGAACATCCGGAGCAGATACTGATCAGTACTGATCTCCCACTTCTCTGAGAAGTTGAAGACGGAACAGCGCTTATCGACTCTGCCTACGTGGTCAGCGGTAGTCAGCAGTCGGATGACGGGCGGTTTGGCACACGTTCAAGGACAGTTCATGTCGACACAACAAACGTTATGGCTTCCTGTGTTCCAGCTTAAGTGAGTTCCACACTCACACTTCACCAGGACATGTGCATCTATCCAACCTACGGCATGCCTTTGACCTCCATGCATCTCTTCGAAACGGTCGTGGCCATGACCTCGTCCTGGAGACCTCGACTTCACGACAGTGGACCTACGCTTGTCAATCGAACCGAGCTCTGGAAATAGAACTCGTCTAGAAGCCCAATCTAGGATGCCGATGCGAGATACCACCTCACCTCAGTTCGTCTGCATCTAATGGGACCCACAAACTATCTTCTATCCTACATAGTCGTCTCAGCTTGGTCTGCGGCAATCATTAACTCGGTTTCTGTTGCTCAGGCTCTGGAAGACTGGAAGGCAACTGTGAACCTCAGAATGAACCTAGACTTGACCTCAATTCGCTTGTGCACCATCGTTCCCAACCCGCTCTGTTCTTCAATCAAGTTCACGTTCGCCTCCGGTGTTGGCGTGCCGGAGCGCATCAAACGTGCGACGCAGATCCCTGACACTCACTGATCATGAGTTGCGGTTGATCGCATTGTTGCGGATCAATACATCATGACGATTCAATTGTTTCACACATCAACATATGATCCACGGATGTTGTCAGCAACGGTCAACTTGATATCGACATCGAATCGACATGCTCATGTGCAAGGCTGGTTCAAATGCAGGCTCCAAAGTCTGCCTACGACATTTCTGCACGATTCAAAATTTGTCGAACTTAGCGGCGGCTCAAGCTAGCGCTCAGGGCACAACCGCTTACAGCAACTGGAAATAGAAATTTGAAATGAACAAGTCTATATATCGCTCGGTTGCCGGGGTCAGATAAGTCCGCAAGCCTGCAGATAATCTTGGTAAGTCTCCGTTTCCAAACTCCCGATATCCTTCCAATTGACAGTGCTGACCACCACACCATCCAGGGGAAGCGTGGCATTCAATGCGTCGGTGGCTGGATATTGAGGGGCTTCGGTGGAACTGAAAACTGCGAGCGAGAGTCCGGAACCCTGAGCCGTCAAGGTTGTGCTCTCTTGGAAACACCCTTGACAACGGAACACGAACTTGGCTGTTGTCTGCGTCCATGATGAGAGGCTAGAGACCGCGATGAGGCCGCCAGTGCTGATAGGGAGTAGCTTGGTTTCGTCGTTCCTGCGGATATTTTCGTGATTTTCAACAGCAGGGCTGACGACGGGACGCACGAAAGAGTACTTTGCTGAACAAGCATCGCGCTGACCACAGCGCCGGAGCTCCCAGAGGTACTGAAGCGCGTCACGAATGTGTTGATGCTCACTCTGCAGACGTTGTTAGCGCTCGATAATCAAGCTCGCAGACGGGGAGGTCCTCACTGAGGCACCACGGTTTGGTCTAACAATCCGAATCCGGCAAAGCCGTATGGAATCGGCACGATCAATTGGGCAAGGAAATCCTTGTCAATGGCACCGTTCGTCGGGAGAGCAATTCCAAGGGAAATCTGGCTTGTGTTGTCCTGTGTTACGTTGTCAGTGTTCAAATCTTTGGTTGATTTACTTCACTCACGAAAATTTGACTAAAGCACACATTGGTAGTCCCAGCCGGCGTACATGCCTTGGTTGATTGTCCATCTACCAACGCTGATTGAAATTGGTGCGCATGAAGACGTAAGTATCTCGGGAGGCTTACCTGCGAATGCAGAAACACTGAGGACGACAAGAGCGACTTGGCGAAGAAGATTAAGCATGTTTTGTTGCTGGAGGGGCGGATTTTTCGATAAGGCTAACTGAGACTTGTGGGTCGTATTTATGCGATTCCTCTCTCAGCAGAGCCCTTATTGGGCACCGATCGCGGAGGTTCAACTTTAGCTGGATGCGAGGTGTCTAATTGATAGAGCAAGTCTCCACCAGTGACATTACGGCGCCGACCCTTGGAGCATCTACTACTTGGCTTGCCACTGAAGAACGCCAATCATAGGACGTGCCAGTGCCCTGCACCTGGACCTCGACTGAGATTCTTCGAACTGGTAAGATGGTTATATGAATACCATTGTCAGCGACTCACGCGGGATCTCAGGAAGCAGTTAATGGCAAACTGCTCAGCGAATGTCTTTCCGAGCGGAGACATGGAAGTGCGGGAGGGCTTCTATTGGCTTGTGCCCAACCATCTATTGGTCCTTAAAGCCCTGCAAAACTTGAACGTCTGTCGTCAACGTTGTCCGCCGTAGCGTCAGTATTAGAACTGCCCCGAGCACCGCATCGTCACCGACAGTCCTGAGCATTCAACGCTGTCTACATCGCGGTCAGCCTATTATGACTTGTAACAGCGGATCGAGGCAAAGGCACTTGACAATTCCGTTCGAAGATGCTTCCATAACTTCCACTTCAATATATGCCGCGCCTCGCGTCGTCTTGCTTGTGACCAGAAGTTGTGTGATACGACAGGCGCGCATGCAGCGCCAAACTCGGAAATCATAATTCGCGTTCTACGAAACAAGAGCGAGGGCCCGCTGATAGAACGCTAATTCTGAATCAAGGGCCTTCTGAGTACTCTCGGCATTGCGCCAACCATGTCCTTCATCTTCGAAAAGAACGTATTCTGCTGTGCCGCCGGTGCTTTTGATAGCTTTCACGAGGTCTTCTGCCTGGTTTCGCGGGACTATGGGATCAAGAGCGCCTTGGAGAATCTGCGCTCGCCGGAATCAGCCCCTGTCTGATGTGGACGGGGGTAGATAGGCACTCACTAAAAGTGGCACAGATATGTCATGGGCGTGGAAGACCGGGGAGCGCGCGTGATATACATCCGGTATGTCTTCGAAACTGCCCCCTATCAAGGCCTGAGCGTAATGAGACTGGAATTTGTGTGTAAATTGCGTGAGCTTATGCAGATCCGAAATGCCGTATGAGGAGGTGCCTGCTGCAAAGACGTTATCTGGTTGTGATAACGCTACTAGCGTTGTGTAACCTCCCGCAGAGCCTCCCCTTATAACGATACGCTTGCGGTCGATGATGTTATAGGGATAGGACGAGAGGATGAGAGCAACCTGAGTGCAATCGCGCACATCTCGCACGCCCCAACTTCCTTTGAGACGGTTTCTATCATGGTCATCAGAATCAGAACGACAATTCAAAGGAGCTTACATGTAATCACGACCAAAATTCGAGGATCCACTATAATTCACGTCAATCCTGTGGAGGTGGGTCAAAGTAGAACAATTTGGTGCATGAAGACAGACCAGACCCAGCCTCTCGTGGTGAAGAAATGTTTCTCCAAATCAAAGTCCTGTCTTGCAAGGTAGGTCGGGCCACCATGAACATTGACAATCGCCGGAGGGCGTTCTCCCGGTACACATCGGTAATCAGGATTGCGGGGGAGATAGTACACAGCGTGAACAACCTCGTTAGGCGAGTCCAGAAGAGCGAGCTCCAAGGCCATTGGAAGAGAAAGATAGGGATCGGGGAGTACCGGCTCGATGTAACTTGTCAACGTTCTGAAAGTAGGGGCGAGCACGGCATCGGCGGTAGGGAAAGTGCAGAGAATGGTTTCTGTTCCACTATCCACCCGACTGCCCAAGAATACCGCCTGCCAAGGACCAACACGACGCATTCTCGCGATGTGGACATAGGGGCTCTCGAGCACTGTTGAATGTCCGCTGTCCAGACTGACGAGGTGGAAAACGCTTCTGCCCCCTTTTGAAGCAGCGAAAAGGATGAGATTATCATCCAGAACGGTAATATTGGAGCCACCGAGCCACCAAGAAGGATCGATAAAGTCCAGTTCGAGGGGAGAGGGAAGTAAAGGTCGTCTGGAGACTGATTTAGTCTTCGTATTGACGACTCCGAGCCAAGGGTTGTGGAAAGAAGAGATATCGCAAGAGAAAACAAGCGCATTAAGTGATATCCACGTTGGCTGAACGGCGCTGATCGTCGAGGGCTGACCAGCGACACGGTATGGAGAAAAGCGCTCTGTGGTAAGATTGAGACGACCATGAACAACATCGACAGCGGCAACATAGATCTGTTCCCTGGAGCAAGTGTTCATTTTCTTTTACAGCCAGATGTTTTGCACCTACCCGTCCCAAGGCATATCTGGATGAGACCACTGGCTCCACGCCAACAAGCTGCCGTCGGGATTAAAAGTTGGATTCGCGTAGAAGTCCGCGCCAGAGATCAAGCATGAAGGTAACACAGTTAGTTCGCTGGAACTAAAGGACACAAGGGTGTTAACGACATCTTTTGCAGAGGATTGTGTATGGTCCTCCATGATCGAGACAGCAATATCGGTGTGGACTGGATGTATCGCAAAAGCTGCAAACCTGCACTTGGGCGAGCTTGTCACTGGCCGTGGCTTAGTATTCGATACGGCATTGAGGTCGACTCGATAAACTTGAGCATCTTCAGCGTTAGAAAAGAGGCCCACGTTGTCATGTATTACTGAGGAGAAGATGAGTCAAGAGCAATGTAATACTTAGTGAGATAACTTGCTCGCTGCCGCGCCGCCGTACTCATGGACAGCAGTGCGGACATTCCATTTCCCGCCCAAAACATCAGTTCCATCTTCAGCACGAACCAATGCATTCCTTCCGCCCTCTTCCGGCCGTTTTTCGACACGGTATATGGTGCCAGTCACTCCGTCGACAAGCACGTCTTCTGTGGAAATAGACTTGAAAGATGAGAGGGAGAACGAGAACATTGTCACGGCACCTACCAATTTTGCAACACTAGCGGAAGTTATTGGAGAGTCCCATGTACCGTAGGGCGCAATTTGAGATACTCTGTCACCCATGTTGTTTCTTTTCGCGGGGCCCAATGTGCATTTGCGCCTGTTTGTAGTCGCTCCATTTCGGGTGATGGTAGGAGATGGCTAAGCGATGCCGGCGCTTGCCGGTCCCTCTTTCCGCGAACACCCACCATCGTTGAACAAAATCCACACAACTGCCAAGGACGACGTCGGGCGGCCCTGGAACTATTCAAAGTTTATTAGGCTATCAGGATGCTTCCTGCTCAACTCGGTGCGATCTTTGCGTCATGAGAATGAAAGCTGCCTGTTTTTGGTGTTAGGATACGAGGCCTGAGAGTCTTCCCGTGTATTCGCCAGAAGGCCTGGCTCATCGGAGCTTGGGTACCTTTAGATTCTGAGAAAACAACCACCTAACAATCCAAGTACCTCCACATCGACGTGACACATAACTAAGTGCGGTGATACGTGTAATCTGCAAAGAGAAGCCCAAATCGACCGGTTCACTGCCACATCCCCCCTCTTACAATCAACATCTTCTTGGACAGACAGGTACAACAGTCATCGTTCACGGCCTTCGTGGCCACATAAACAGCGCTGGCGCTGCAACAAACGGTACCACAATGAGTCCGCCTCTACCCATCAGCACCTGCATTATCGAGGACTGGTTTCATGGTACGCGGCGCGCTCACCAAAAAGAACACGATCCTTACAATGATATAGGGCTCTACACGGCGGTCTTAATTCTAACTTTATGGGTTATTGCTACGGGGAAGCAGCCTGCGATCAACGCTTCTCGTCGATCTTTGCAGGTGGCTCTCGTTGTCGTGCCCTACATTTGCTCTACGGTGCATGCCGCGGTCAACTGGCTTTGGTACGCCAACGCGGTAGATGATAACGAGCTTCCCAGTGGGCCAGGGTTGCTCTACTCCTTGACGCACATCCCTGCTTGGTTAGAAGCCACCGGGGACACCTTCTTTTGCCTCAATATCCTTTTGGCCGATTGTGTCTTTGTATGTCGTCAAGGTTGTTTCTGTTTTGCATACTGACCAGAATCATGGAGTAGATTTGGCGCTGCTCGAGAATATGGAATCGCCGGTGGCAAATTGTCATCCTTCCCATCCTCGCAACTATCACGGGTGCTGGTGAGCAACCTATGCTGCCTAGTCCAACGATCATAAACGTCGACAGTACTCGCCGGCATAATTATTGCCGACCAAGTAGTCGCCCGACGCACATCCGAGCCATTCATTGCAGCCAAAAAATCATCCGAGTTCATCAACCTCAGTAGCATCTACTTCTCCCTGTCCATGGCCACGAGTCTGACCACGACCCTCCTCATATCTCTCCGCATCTTCCTTGTACAGCGTGCTGCTTCTTTTGCGAGTCCACAAGCCCATAAGCTCTTCAATCCCATCATCGAAATTCTGGTCGAGTCAGCAGCCCTATATTCAGCAACGCTGCTCGCGTTTGTGGTGTTCAACACTCAGAAGAGTGTGAACGTCTACTACGCACAGAACATTCATGCTCAACTGGTTAGTTTTTGACTTTCGTAAGCACACTTTTCGTCTAACATGTTTTCCCCCTTCTTTTATAGGCTGGACTGGCACCACTCCTCATCATTCTACGCATCGCTACAGGCAGAGCTCGTCCGCAATCCGACTGGGACACCACGATCAGCTTTTCGACGACAATGAAGTTCACTAATCCCAGCAACAGCCCCAGCGTTGCGACGATGGTGGACTCTGCCAGTTATGATTGTGAAGCAACCTTATAGCTTGCTTACTTGACCCTCCTTGTCCACTCGAGCTGGACGAAACTTTCTTGTTTTTCGAGACTTGGGACACTAGTAGGATAATGCATGAGCCAAGAGTCCACTCGAATTAATACTCGATGATGCATATATATGTAAATGTCTATCGTATAGTCCGGGATGAACAAGGTTTTGGATGGACCATGAAGTGGGATAATGCCAAAAAAAAACGGGGGGAATCGTGGAAGCGAGGTAATAGTCGTGTAGTCCGGTAGGCCATCTCTAAGCGCGTGAGCGGAATATTCGTATGCCGCTAATGAGCATGATGAGGAAGGTGAACAAGAGACCAAAAGCAGCGGGGCGGGCAGCAAGGGCTCCGTTGCAACCTGTGCACGACCAGCCTACAGGAGAACGTCAGAAGACTGTGTGACTAAGACGGCGTATCGAGCCCGATTCCCCCCCACGTGCAGAGACGAGACCGAAGAAGGCCCGGGACAACAGACGGAGAAGAACTTTCGGTGAATGGGCTACTCACCATCTGCGAGAGGCGTATAGCCTTGTGGTGTATAGAGTGCAAAGGTCAAAGCGGTATTTGGACTCATCAGACCGGCTTGCGCCGTTGCGGTTGGCCCTCGTTCATCGAAGATATGCAGCGTATATTGAGCTTGCGCAAGCTGGGTCCCTGGGTGGGCCTATGGACACCAATATTGTTAATTTCGTGTAAGCAGGAAATTGGGCAAACGCACCTGCTGATACGAGTAGACATCCCACACTACCTGCGTCGCCGTCCCGGGCACCCTTCCCTGCTCATCTGGCCCGACTGCGTAGGTGTTGCCGTTGGCGCCAACCGCGCTGATGGTAAGGCTTGTTGGCGTTCTGACGACGCTCGTCAGGTTCCATCCAAAGGTAATGAGCTGGTTGGGGGCGATTTTGAAGTAGGAGGTGGCTGTCTGAGGGGGCTGGGTGATAGTTGCACCACCAGGAGGAAGGGTTTGTGGGATGGCGGAGGTAGCGGAGCCACTGGGCGCAACCGGGTTGCCGGAAGGAGCGCCTGAAGAAGTGCCTGAAGAAGCGCCTGAAGCAGCACCTGATGGGGACACGGGGGCGGACATGAAGAATGAGCGAGCGAGGAGGGCTCTTGGGGTCGTTGCTTGAGGAAACGGCAAGTGATGTCAGTGGTCACTGAGCGTGACTCGCACTTCGAAGTCACGTAACTGACAGGAAAATCTCGAGCAGTCTCGAGCTATGTAAACGAGAGGAATGCGTAAATACGCTAGCGCGATGGGCTAGCAAATCGTTATGGCGGAATAGCTATGGGATAGATCTAAATATTTTCTGTTTCTGACCACATACTTAGCAAGCACGTGCGACAAGCCTCCTTTTCTCATCCACCCATGATGATGCGCGGAAAGGTCTCACTCATATTAATCCATTCTTCTTTCATCTTTGCGGACAAGACATGCCTCCCGCATTTGCTGCAACTCGCCCTGTGAACCCACCTGGGGCTAGCCCAGTCATAACTGAAGAGCAGTTGTGGAAAGGCCTCGAATATAGAGCTCGCAAACCTCAGGTGCATCGTCTTCCTCCCTTTAGTATGCAGCTAAACAGGGCTCCTCCTGCTTTTAGCATTTCGCCGTGCCAATGTTAGCCTCCGCCAAAGTTACTGTCGACGATGGAAAGAAGGTCGTTTCCATATCGCCGCTCATTCGTTGGACAGTTTAGTTGAACGATACCTAGTTGACCCGCGAAACCACCTTTCGATATGCCTCCCAGGAGGTCATCGTCGAAACCATTACTGCTTATGCTTTCACCATTGTCTGTCTTCCTCAAACTCTGGCGCCTCGCCCATTCACCAACTGTTCCATAGATGTACTTCGAGGCGAATACTGGCAAACGCACCACAAATATGATCTCGTACGGCCCTTCCGACGAACTCCTTCTTACGTTCAGCTTCACTCATGGAGGTACGCGTCCGTTCTCTTGAACAGAGTTTCGGAAGCTCACTTTTCTGCTCCGAAAGTTTATGGCCTCCCTGAAGCGAACGGAGAAGAGTTGAACGCGATGGTTGGAAAGGAAATCGAGGACACAATTGATGTCGTCCGGCAGATGGTCAGGGACGGAAAGCTGTAATGACTCGAAACAAGTCGTTGGGCGGTGCCCACGTATGCATTTTCCTACTTCCTCATAATGCCAAGACACACTCTTGCACCCCGGTCGAATGCCTGTTCTGGTACAGTGACTTCTGTCGGATCCGACAGACACAGCCCGGCGCCGGCTGACTCGAGGGAAACACTACATATATAAACAGGCCATCGACCACGAGTCTAGGGTTCACCTTCTGCCACCTACTATGACAAGCAAGCCCCGTCCCGTGCCCACAGGCCGCATCGACTTCGATGCTGCCGACCTTCCTGAATACGCCAACTGCTATGCCATAGTCTTGGACTCGCTCTACCCCAAAGCGGAAATCATCACGATCCTCGATGCTCCCACCCAAGCTGGCAAAGAATGGGATGTCGCACGAGTCAACGCTGGCACTTACGAATTTACCAACACTTCCTACCGTAATGGCGAGCGCATTATTTACGACTCGTTCGAGCTCTCAGGCCAGATTTTCGAGAAGATCCGCCCCCATTTGAGCGAGATCGAGGAGATTGAAGAGGACGTGACAGTGCGGGCAAAGAACCCGGCGACAGGGAGGTACAAAAAGATGCCGGCGAAGCAAAAGTGGCGCATGGTCAGGATGAATGAGCGGTTGAGGTTTCTGAGGTATCCTGTGGGCGGGTTCTTCCGTGCGCACGTGGATGGGTGCTATGAAAACGAGTGCGTTGTTCCTGCGTTTGTCGAGGTCGTTTTTTTTTTGCTTACAACTTTATAGGCAGAACGGCCAGCGCACGTTCTACACAGTGCAGCTCTATCTCCCCTCAGATACGAGTGGGTCTGCACAGAGCTTCAAGCCCGCGGGCGGCGGCGCAACACGCTTCTGGGGCGATAACGAGAAGGATTACGCCGATGTCATTGCTGTCCCTGGACGCGTTTTAGTCTTCCAACACGATGATCTGCTGCACACCGGAGAAGAGGTATTAGGTTCTAACAACTTTCTTGTCGTATTCTGACACTGTTCCAGGTCACTTCTGGCGTGAAGTGCGCTATGCGTTCGGATATTTTGTACGAGAAAGTCGGGGAGCCGATGGTGGTTGTGTAGTATCAATCAAAGCGGAAATGTCAAAGCGATAGCTTGGATTACGATCATATACATGCCTCTTCTCTCAACCTTCGATCTGAATGTATGAAGTATTCACAATTGCACAATTGATACCAATATTGTGAAAAAATATAAATTATGTAGGACGTAAGTGATGCACTATAACTGAGTGCAAACATATCTTGTTTTGAATGCCTTCTAGACTGCAACTTGAATTGGTGGAACCTATGGCTCAGATAGCTCTCTCAGTCCACAAATGAACTATGTTATAAGTATTGAATTTGATCATATTTCCTCTTTATTGCTAGCAGCAACAACAACATGGAAGTACTTATTATATTATACATAAGTCAATACTTAAACATATGTTGTTGGCCAATAGGTATCTGTTTCCTGCACTTCAAGTTCAATATAGATTATAGTATCTTTTTTCCTGCCATACTGCGTTGGGGACATCAGATGATAGAAAATTGCTGCACCTGCTGCCAGAATGATAATAACCCATGGTCCCCATTGACCAATTGCAATGGGATGCTCTGATGTGAGATTTAGTTCTGAGAGTTGATGCTCTCCAAAGAAAAGTTGTATAATCAATGCAATTGGTGCACCAACAAGAATTAGGGCTGTGAAAAAGAATAAGGGTGCTGCAGCATCTGCAGTATTATTATTTCTGCTTGGATGGCTCATCAGATTCTGAAGAAGAATGAAAATATCTTGATTAGGCTGTTTGATCACCATAAATGCTGTAAACAGAACAAGCACTGTACAGAATAGGCCAATGAATATGCCCTAATCTATAAGTTCACCAAAGACATGATTGATAGACATTTGAGAGGATTCAATATGGGCTTCTCCAATAGAGTGTATAGGTGAAGAGGCCTGCATACACAGGAGTGTACATGCTGTCATATTTGGCTGGATACTCTGGAGAGAGCCATCATCCAGTGTAATATTAGAAGGTCCACAAGGAGGCATGGGGATAGAGTTTACATTGATTGCACAAGAATATCCAATGATTATCAGTGTAGCCCACCCACATACTAAAAGGACTGTTGCAGATATCTCTCCACTAGCCTGTTGTAGATAGTATGAACGCACAAGCAGAGGTGCAGAGATATATAGACAGACAGATAAAATCTGAAAAATAGGCAATATGTCTAGATCCATAGTGCCCTTCTGGGAAGGAGCTTGAGAACAAATCAAGATCACAATAGAGTGGATTGCTGTAGCACCAGTGTAGACCATTGCACTACTCAAAAATGGTTCTTTTCAAGGTTTAGCACTTGAAGCAGAAATTTAGATTAAAAGACAACATACTAGTAAGCCAATTTGAAGCTGTAAACAAGCCAGTAACCCCCAGGATAAATAAGACATAGAGCAATAGTCGCTGGAGAAAGACATATGTTCCACTCATTTGATATCCACATATATAGGAAGGAGATTTTGTGGTACCATAGAGGCTGCCACCACTTCCTAGCCCTCTGTCATCTCCAAGGGTAAGAATAAATGATGAACCAGGGAGAATGGATGGGTACCAGTCAAAGCCAATGCCTTGATCTGATATTTCTGTTATATTTGATATTGGAACAGTTATAAAGCGCATATCAGCATCTATAGGACCCTGAATGCCTAGAACTGTTATCTGGAAAGTAATATTGCTAATAATTAGCCTTAGTAAACAAGACTGTAAAGGTATAAAATTGAGAGCTGACCCTTTTGTAGTGCCTTTATCCCACCATATTCTATTAGGAACACCAATTGTAAACTCAGTTGATGCAGTTGTAAAGTTGAATGGTTGATGATATGAGTCTGCACATACAGCAGTAAATTCACTATCATCAACAAAATCATGGTACTGGGATTTCATCCAGCCTGTGTCTGATGCTTGGGAGTTCATCCACTAATTAAAACATAGGTAAGAAATCATTTCATTTAAAGAACAAGAAAGAAACTTACAACAATCCAAAATCTTGCATCTGGTACAGAAACATTCAACAGGTAGTTCTTGGTTGGTACTCTTCCTGAGGTTGCCCAGGTTTGTGCAGGATCCCAAGGTAGAAGGACCACTGTATCTGTGTTGTGCTTTGGTGAAAGGCGGAGCAATGTTGTGCATGAGTATGCATTACATATGGGGATGCAAAGAATAAGAAACACAAGGCTGGCTAAGCTTGGAGTAAAAGGGCCCATCTGGTCCAGACAGTTGCCCTTGGGGAAGGATTCAGTGTAGCTTGAGAAAAACTTGGAGAAGCGGATAGCATTTTAAAGACAAAAGAAGTCCAGAAGCCATAAATATCTGGTATCTAGAATAGTGATCAGTCAATCATTGTGGGATTCTCTCAGCAGGCAGGTTTCTATAGCAATTGGGCAGAATTCATCATTCCAGAACCCGGCCTATGATATTCTGTTCTTGAGGTGTTTGACAATATAATTAATAGATATCTGAGTCGGAGTCCCACCACTCTGATTGTATGTTTGGAATTGTGATGTTTGCAAAGTTTTCTCTCCACAAGCACAGTCTGGGATGATGTAAAATAGTGGTTAGACAAATGTCACAGGAGTGGCAAGCTTGAAGCGGGAGCCAGGTGCAAGCCTTCGGCTGATCAGCAACTAACTGGGCACAACCATTGTAGTGCAGTACTACCCCACTGGTCAGCTCTCGATATTCACTGGTACATTATTATACGCACCGTGGCCCTCCGTCTTCACCGTATGCCTTCAAGTTTGAGACATGCCCCTGTAGCATTGTGTTTTCCCCCGCCCCAACGCTTTGCACAGGCCCAATCGCTGCGAATGGCGATCTCGCTGGTCCGAGTCGGCCCGTGAGAGGACTCCTTCGAATTCTACTCCGCGGTGCTGCTGGCGCAAAGGGGTGGGGAGAATGCTTTGAGTATGCCGGTGTTGGCAGACAAAAGTTCACAGGCGCGACGGCGGAGGGGCTCTGAGTGGAGTTACCGTCCTGCGAAACTGTCTGCGACTTCAATTCTGTGGCTGATAGATCGTCGGACGGCGATGCTGGGAAGGCTTCAAGTTGTTGATTAGACCATCTTGGTTACACTGCTAGCGGCATAAGAGTCGCTGCCAGCAGGCTATTCCTGGCGCTAGACGAACGTGCCACTGGGCGATCGCGAAGAGGAACAGCTAGATGGTGGGAGGGAAGATAGTAAGACGCCACGTGAGCTGATCGCGCAATTGCCGATCTTTCCGCCGCATGCTTCCCTTCCCTTCCGCACCCATGTCATGGCGATTCGGAATGGATCCCCAGGTGGCCAGATGCGGCGTCTGGCAGGCAACAGCAGCCAACGTGCGCTGATGAGATGTGGTCGCCACTAATAGCGCTCTTCTTGTCTTCTTGCTCTCTGTCGCTCATTCTCCCCCCACTCTTGCAGCTGGAGCCATGCGTGCTGTTCTGTTGGCAGCGCTTGTTGCTGTCCCCGCCGCGCTGGCTGTGACGAAGCCCATCCACTCCCACAACGACTGTGCGTAGGAATTTACCACTACTGAATCCAGCTAATGCTTCATACTATACAGACTTACAGGCGGTGCCGTTCTGGACTGCGTTCAACCTGAGCGTGATGAGCGTCGAGGCGGACGTGTGGTGGCAGAGCAGCCAGCTCTTCGTGTGTCCCTCTTTTCCCTCTCTTCTCACACTCTTACCTTGGCTACAGGTCGCACACACGAGCGGCGAGATAAACAAGTCCAAGACGCTGCAGTCGCTGTACCTGAACCCGATAATGGGCATCCTCAACGGCTCCCTCGCCGTCCCCAACCCGATTTCCGTGTCCAACCCGCTCCAGCTGTTGATCGACATGAAGTCGACCGGCTCGTCGACCTTCCAGCCCGTGTCTGACGCGCTTGCCCCCCTCCGCGCGGGCGGATACCTCACCACGTATAATTCTGCGACCGGCACGCTCCGGCCCGGCGCGGTCACCGTTGTCGGTACAGGCAACACCCCGCTCGCGAGTGTCGTCGCGCAGAACCCACGTGACGTCTTCTTCGACGCGGACATCCGCACGCTCTTCAGCACCGTCCCCGCCACGGGCCAGACCTGGGGGCCACATATTTCTCCCCTCGCGAGCGTCGACTTTGGGAGCGTGTCGAACACGGCACAGATGCAGGAGCTGGTGCTGAATGCACATGACCTGGGGATCAAGTCGCGCTTCTGGGACACGCCCGCGTCGGTGAGCACGTGGAACACGTTCTGGGCGGCGGGCTCGGACTGGGTGAATGCGGATGATCTGGCGGCGGTGTCGAATGCGTGGGCGGCGTTTAGCGGCGCGCTTGTGCCGACGAGGTTTGAGTATACGGGGCTGGATGCGCAGAAGGCGTTGGAACGGAAGGAGGTGTAGGGTTTGTCTGTTGACTGGATATATGTGGTACACCCATGAACCTTCAATGAATCTTGTGGGCGCCCGCCACGCTTTGGCTTGTCATGCATAAAGATTATAGATTATAGGCCAAGCGAATACCGTTCGATCCGGTACAAGGTTTGTACGAATGATAGCCGGGAAATGCAGGTTTTTTTCTTGGTCGAACTTAAACCTTGAAGTGCGAGTAAGTAAGAACTGTGCTAGTATTACTAGGAAGTAAATCGATATCACGCAAGCATCTCCTCAGGCTCCGAGTCTCTTGTTGGGCCTTGCAGCCTTTGACCAGCCCATGCCCACTAAAGTCTAAAGGTGCCAAAAAAGTGCACCTGGCAGTGGATTCACGCTCAGTGAGGGTATTGTGTGAGCACTTGCTACACTTGTAACGACTCACTGGCACTGACACAAAATATTACTTACTTAGTACTTACCCCAAATCAAATGCGACTCTACTAAGTTTATTTAAGAGTATGGGCCAAGGATCCGAGCCGCTGCTATCCCAGGCCGCTGGCCATGAAAGTCCAAAACTGCTGTAGAGGGTCGTTCGAAACGGCCGCGGATCCATCGACATGGTTACATCATCCGGGACATTTTTTTTTTGAAGTGACTTGGAAGTGACCTCATTTTTTTTTTCGGCCGGCCGACTTGCCATCACCGGTCCCGGATCCTCTCTTCGACCTCGCCGTCATGTTCGTGTTTGAGTCGGTTATTGCGGGCGGCAAGGAGGATGGAGACCACGGCCTAGTGTGGGCGTAAAGAGCGTGCGGCGGCTGCTTGACGTGGAGGACAGGGCCTCAGCTGTGCGGCGCGTCGTCTTTTTCTTGGTCTTTTAGATGCTAACTCGGCCGTCAGCTTCACTGAGGAGACATGAGCACGTGGCGATAAAGTATGGACGGGCACGTTCGTCTCAAAATAGCGCGCCCCTTCCATCTTTGCGAATCGCGGTCGCCGTTGGCAGGCGGCCTGATCTGGCGCATGTGCTCTTGTCTGGGGCAGTTGCCATTTTGTCGCCCTTCTGACCTTCGTCCACGTCCCTCCAGGCATATATAGGGCCCACTTCCGGCGCTGGAATGGTACGGCAACTTGAATGCGGGCTACAATAGGATTAGCACTGGCCCTCGCCGCTTGCACCGTCGCGCAGATAACGCTGGACCCCCACAAGGTGTGTCTCCGTCATTTGAATCTTCTCGGAGTTGTAACCCCCGGACCTCAGTGCTTCACGCTCTCCACGAACGGCACGCAATACCTCGATTCGACAAGCAGCGTCATCGCCATCCAATCGCACCCCGAGTACGCCTTCCCCCCCTTTATTTTCCTTCTACTTATTACTTGCCAGCCGGGCGGCGCTTGAGTCCGGCGACGACAAGGGCGTGCGCTTCCACTTTCCCACGGGGGACCGCGGCTGGGTCGTGTGTGAGGCACACAACGACCACTTTGTCGGCACGCAGATCCCGCCGTCAAACTGGCGCGCGGACATCGCGGAGGGCTCGACCAGCGAGATTGCGGCCATTGCGCTGGTGGATGGAGGCGTAGGCGGAAAGGCGTGGGTGAATGCGACGAGCAGGCATTTTATTGGCGTCAAGGCGGATGGTGAGTCTCTTCTTTGGACAAGGAAAAGGGAATGGCGGGCTGATGATTTGGGTGCAGTTGTGGCGACCCCGTTTTTGTGGGACATTCTTCCGATTAACTGTCTAGTCAACACGTAGTGCGCTCCGTCCCTCCTGTGACAGACAATACTCGCTTCCGGAGATGCATCTGTACCTACGCTCCCGCGTTCGCCCCGGGTCGTAGCCTGAGCAGGAACCAATGCACATTTTTGACAACACTGTTCTCTATTCATTGTGCTCTTGTGTGGCGGCCGGGGCTAGTTGACCGCCACTATATATGGCCCGAATGCAGCGACGAGGAAAGCTGGCGGCGGCAGCCGCGTCTCCATTACGCGGGTTATATGTATCGTCGGAACGCTGTTGGACGCGCCGGGATCCCCTCCAACGAGACATTTTCTTATCCTTTTGGCTCAGAGTCGTCTCACTCGCATCGCAAGACTCAGACTGCTAACCGGCGATGAACACTGGATTGAATTATAATTAATAATGGAGAGGCTCACGAATATTCTCTGCACATACCACGACTTACTAGTCGTAGGCACCAGTCGAGCTCTGTGTCCTTCCGAGGTTGGTCTCGATCGTATATTCCTGGGTCTGCCCGCGTTCGCCTCGGGCCTCAGGATTTGTGGAAATAGTCATAGCGGGTGTATTTTTTCTTCTTTTTGACAGCAGGTTAAAAGCTTGTGGGGGCAATACTTACTAAAGGACACATGTGTGCGCTCTAGCCTCTGAGAACAAGTTGCCGGCGGGGGAGCCGCTCCCGCGCCACCGTATCATAGTATAGAGCTCCAGGCTAACGCGGCCCGGGGGCGCCGTTCGACGCGGTGCGGCGGCGGTTCCAATGCCGAAAATTCCTTTTTCTTTTCTTGGGGTCGTCTTGCCAGATGATTGCTCTGCCAGTGGGCGACTCCTTCGGGTGAGCGCTTGCCACCCGCTTCCCGTTTTGGAATAGCGAGCGGCGAGCGCCGGGATGTCCCGATGTCCGGCCCGGGATCCGTGGTCTGCCAGTGGCTCCGGGTCTGCCGCCTCCGGCACCGTCGGCGCGGTCTCTGGGTGGCAGGATGGATGTCCTGCCGACTGTCTGGAAATAGTCAAGTATGTATGCGGGGCCTTGCTCTACCAAAGGCCAGTTGGCACCCCGTCATCATGGAGGAGTCGAGATGATGATATTTCTTCCTGTGGTCATGATGTAACTATGATCGATCATGCATGAGTCATGACCGGCATATAGGAGAGCCAATGTCGGCGCGTGCCGCCCCGCCTACAAGACGTAAGTCTAAGGTCGGACGCCGTTCGACGCGGTGCATTGAATTTCCGTTTTGCTCCGTTCTTGGTGTGACACCAACCGTCGGCTCGGCCAGACCAATCCGGCGCTGCTTCAGCCCGTATGCCTCGTGCTCATCTGGCACTGAGCCGACGTGTGCCAGATTTTTATTTCATTTCTACTTACTTCAACGGTTCAACCTTGCAATTGAGTGCTTGTGGAACTTGTTGGAACACAGAGCCTGCGGGCCGTGTCCCAGCACCCACAGCAGCTCGAGCCTCGATCACTGGCACTCCAATAGGCGTCCACTGTTCGAAGCAGCGGCAGCGTCAATAGTCGTATAGCCTGAGTATGTCCCAACATAACATTTTTCTGTTCGTTTCTTTTGTGAGGGGCTGACTCGGCGAAGCCCGATACCGTGAATCCGGCCCGAGCGCCAAGCAACCGGCACTCCATTGTGCGCCACGGAGGATAGGTATTAAGAGAGCCAGTGCCGCCGCGTGCGGCCCGCCGGCGTGCCGACCATGTTCCAGTGGGGCGAGACTTTGGTTCAAAGGCTGCGGGACGCCGGGCTCGTTTGACGCGGCCGCGGCGCAGCGACACTGTCCGTCGGGCGATTTTGGGTGATCGTGGCCCGACCGAAGCTTCGGCCCGAGCGTCGGCTACCCATCCGGCCGTTATCCCATTCGACTTTCCGAAGTACTGGGGAGACAGAGCAACCCAGAATTGGGTCCGTCAAGTAAGGCGAAGCGCCGTTCGAAGCGGCCGCTGCCACAATAATGCTGAAACAGAAAACCAAGTTTTCAAGTTTTCCTTTGAATCCTTTCTGTAAACAACATGGGACGCGGCCACACATGTATCAGCCAGCGGAGCCTGGTACGATCCGACGCCGGCTCTGCAGTGGCATGCACCGCGCCTCCGTCACAATCACCGTCCACGTCCAGGCTGCCAGGTGAAAGACGGACGAACTTGAAGACACAACACAATTGGCGGAAATCTGTACTGCCATTGCCGCTGCTAAATCCGACCCACTGGGATTATCATTCAGCTACCACTGGTAGCAATGGGAACAAAAAAATGCAGCCAGGAAACACATGACCCATTCCGGACGGAGAGACTTGGTGGGTGCGGGCACGGACACCTGCCGCCAGCTTGCTCTGCGCACTCCTCAGTCAGGTTCGTATGGCGAAGTTCCGCCGCCGGCTGGGACCGCAGCTGGCGGGATAGATACAACAGCAGAGGTATTTGCCGCTCGGCCACGGGCACGGTGTGACCAGTGCTCCAAATATCTAGACACACCACAGTAAGAACTAGTATCGGCAGAAGAAACAAAACCCTTGCAGACAACCTTTGTGTGTTAACCTGACGTCGCCGCGTTGAACGGCGAAACTATCGCTTTGCGCAGTATGCGATGGACGAACGTAAGGGAGCTATACGAGTCCGACTCCGAGCCCATGTATCGCACAATGCAGATATTCCACCCTACCCCAACCTCCGCGTCCCGCGCCGTCCGTTGAACATAGTCGGCCTCCAGCGCCTCGTGGGGCCCGGATAGCCCCGGGGCAGAGACGGTTACCGGCTCGGTGAAACAGTCGACATAGCGCACTGTGTTGCCTGATTCCGCCCGATAACCGCCGCGGTAGTCGAACATCGCAATATTCGGCGGCGACCCGCCGGCGGCGCTTCCGGCGTGGTCGCGGAGGTAGTCTTCGTTCATCATAAACCGAAGGAACGAGCGTGTCGAGGGTGATGTCAGCGCCGTCAGTTCTGCAACGGGATTTGTGCATCAGAGATTGGTCCGTGAATCGGCGTACATACCTGTGGACAACGACAGATAGGCGCGACACGTGTTGCGGTGGTTGCCCGTGGTCCAGTCCGAGCGCTGACATGGAACGGAGCAGTACAACCGGTAATTGCATCCCGTGCATTGCCGGAATCTGCGTTTCTCGCCGACGACAATGCACTGTGGTAGTAAGACACCGTATAGCGCTATTAGCATCGTGAACAAACCTGGAGTCCATCGCACACCCTGTCCGGCCTGTCAGCCTTGACCATCCAGCGCGGCACACGCAAACGCTGTCGCTCGATGCCAGCAATCAACGCATCAAACTGTGGCTGAAAAGTCGATTGTCGGTACTGATTTAGCCGCTGCGTCGAGTCGGACATGTCCTGCGCTAGTGCACTCACAATTTGTGGATTGGTGAGCGCCGGTTGCAAGACGCCGTTGAGGAAATACTGCACCAACTCCTTAACATCAGGGACGAGGTTCAAGCCGGCCGTGGCCCCCAGAGCGGAGAGGAGACCGTGAGACACAGAGATGAGGGGCGCATAGCGTAAGCGTACATCCAAGAACATGCGGAGGAGTAGCAAGGCTTGAAACAGGGCTTCCTGCCGAGTGTGTTCGATTCCGTGTGCCGAGTCGTGAGGCCGACCTGCCAGTGGAAGCGCGAGGAGACCCACCGCCTGGGTAAGCTGGTCCACATATCCTGTATCAAGAAGACCGTTGACGAAGTCCCTCACGACTGGCACGTTTCCTTCAAGTTCGTCCGAGTCTTTGAGGAGAGAGAGCGTATCATGTGCTGTCTCAACGATGGTGTCGATCAGCATTATGGCCGTGGCATCGATGAAACGCCGCCCCATAGCACGCACGGTTCGGCGGAAGCTGTTGGCTAGTGTGGCTGCCCACTGGTGCGCACTCCCACCCGTTGCGCCATCCAGGAAGGAATGGATATCGATATTATATGCGTCTCCGCTTTTGCTGGCGAAGAAGGCGGCGTGTACTCTGCTGGCCTGGTCGACCACTGAGGAATCCACAATCCGGGCCGAGTCGAACATTGCAGCCATCTCTTTGCCAACGACATACGAAAATCGCGGCTGTGTCCATATCGTTGGAAGGCGCAAGCCCTTGAGGTCCGTGGCGTTGGCCTCGGCGCCGTTCACCAGGTAGAGCCGTGCAAAGGTGCGGCCCAGCGGACGTGTGCATGCTGCCGGTAACGCGGCGCGAAAGGTGTCGAAAAAGTCAATCCAGGGGAACAGCCGGAGCCACAGCGCGGTGTAGGCCGGTGTTGGGTAGGGGTCAACCTTGGCCAGGGTGAATTGTATGTATGTCGCGAAATCATGGATAACCCACTCCGGAGTTTAGCGGGATTTTTACTCCCAAAAGTTAATTTAAAAAGTACTACTTTTTGCACAAAAATCTATATCACAGGAAACAAATGGTTTCCGCAAAGGGAACCAGTTTGTATAAAGTTTTCCCTTTGTGGAAACTATTTGTTTTCTGTAAAAATATTTTTTGTATGAAAACTAGCCCTTTTTGAATCAACTTTTGGGAGTCAAAAAACATGGTAAACTCCGGAGTGACCGCCTCCAGGTTCGCCAATTCAATTTGGCTGGCGGTCGGCACGTTGGACGGGTCCAGGAGGAAGAAGAGCGCAGGGAGAAGGTGTCAGGGGAACCCCCGCTTCGGCCTCCTTCGGACCCTCCGAACGCATCCGAGGCGCATCCGACCGGCGCCCCCTCGGACGCTCCGACCCACCCCGACCATCGTCCACGGCCTCCTTCGCCCGCACAATCACCGATCCGTCAAGACCCTCCCAACGATCACCTTGGGACAGAGCCTGCGACGCCGCTCAGGCCTTCTGCGCTCTACGTCGGCAGTTACGGACGACCAGTATATAGTTGGCGCCCTAGCAGGCGGACCCTTAGAGTTTCTTCTCTTTGGATCCTCCCCTGCTAGGTCGGTCCCTCCGTGTATTTCCTGTAGTCTTATTCACGCTTTGGATCCTCCCCTGCTAGGCTTTCGTCGGAGTCTCCAGGGTTGCCCTTACAGCAGAAGAAACTCTCTACGGGATTAACCGGTCAAGATTGCCAGGTTTGGTGCTGACTCAGGCTCGGAGTACGAGTCCGTACCCCCCTCGTCACCGCCCCTGCCACTTGACCCCTCCTCCTCTGCTCTTGTCGTCTTTACGCCCGCTATGTCTACCGGAGCTGCTCCGGCGACGCGCGCATGGACGCACTTGAGGCGAAACTAGACAACCTCACCAATCTCCTCACCCACCTTGCTTCCCAGGCTTCCGCTGCCGCACCACCTCCGGCAGCTCCCGAACCGCCCCTGGCATCTCCGAATGCCCCCGACGGGATGCGTTATTTGGTGACATTACTGTCGCCTCAAAACTGGTCTTACGACCAAACCCCCCCGTTTGCGTTTAACGGAGATCGCAAACGCGGCCGCGCCTTCCTATACGTGGTCAAAACCTACGCTCGGCTTGCCCCGGAGGCCTTCGTAGTTAACGGAGAGCCGAGCAAGAAAAGGCCGTCCGCTACGCCATGTCCTATATGGCGGAGGGACCTGCTCAACAATGGGCAGAGCGTCATGGGAGCAAAAACCCCTTCCCCTTCCCTCGGTGGAGCCAGTTCCTCTCCGAGTTTCGCCTTCGGTTCGTCGAGGAGAACGAACAGGACCTCGCGCTCGCTAAGTTGGAAAGCGGGTTATCACATGGGAACGCGGGATGTCTACGGATACACCGACGACTTCGAGGACTTGATGGACCTCGCTGGCTTCGAGCGCGTTGGTTAAGGTAACCAAGTACCGCCACGGACTTGACCCCTTGATCAACAACGGCATCACCTCTTGAACGACCCCCCAGACCTCCGTGACTATCTGGGCTGGCGCACTCGGGCTTTCCGACAATATGAAGCCCTGGTGCGAGCGAAGCTCATTAAGGGAACGGCTACCCCGCGGACCGCCGGGAGCCCCGGGGCGCCTTCCCCATCACTCGTTCGGCAACTCCGTTCCCCATCCGCCCGGTGGCCCCGCCTGTGCCACCCGCGCCCCCCCCGGTACCTCCGGCTCCCGTCCCTATGGAGCTGGATCGTACTAGGCCTGGGGTGCCCTCGTCGAGCCTGCTTCAGATGCGGCGACCCCAACCATTTGGCTCGGGACTGTCCGCTCCCCGCCGACGTCCGCCATGTGGACATCCTCGACGAGGTAATCCAGCAACTTGGCGATGAGATGCTGGGAGAGCTGCTTGCGCGGTTGTCCGATACTGCGGCCTTAGCGGAGGCGCATTCGGGGGCTCCGGCAGAGGATTTTGTCCCCGCGACGAGTGACTGGTGTGCCCTCGTTCGCGTCCATAAATCGTTTCACTTGTTTGTATGATGAATCAACTCCCTTGCCCTACAACGAGCCCGAAACGAAAGACGCACCCTCTGCCCCCTCCGAAGCCCCCCGTTCGGATTCGCCGACTTGCCTGGGAGAAAAAGCTACCTGGCAGTTATACCATCTCTGCCGCTCCTGGCGTTAACTCGCTGCACCTCCCCCTTGAACTTCAGTCCACTGCGAACGCTCAAGCTCTCCCTCTCGGGTCTGGTCGACTGCGGAGCTACTTCGGACTTTATCGACACAGAATATGTCAACCGGAATAATGTGCCAGTCCGAAATCTCTCAGTACCCATCCCGGTCTACAACGTCGACGGCACCCCCAATGATGCCGGGTCTATTCGCCAAATCGCGGACCTCGTTCTACGGTACAACGGACACTCCGAACGCGTTCAGCTGGCTGTAACCCACCTTGGGAAACAGGACCTGATACTCGGATACTCCTGGCTCAAAAAGCATAACCCCGAGATCAACTGGGAAACAAAGGAGGTGAAAATGAGTCGTTGCCCCCGCAGCTGCTCTACCTGCCGTGACGAAGAGCGGACCGACCGCGCTGAGGTTCGGCGGCTCCGACTCCTTAAATCACGACTACTTGCGGGCGCCTTCCCCACTGTTTGCGCTATCGATATCGCTGGCCCAGATGATGCTGACGACGAGGCTCGGAGCTGCCCGGACCCTCCGGAGCCCTCACCAGATCTCGACGGCGACGAGCATCTTGAAGACGGCGACCGCATCTTCTACACCTCCTTTCGCCCAGTTGAGGAGATCCGCGCTGGCAGTACAGTGTCCCAACGCCTTGCAGAGGCCTTCGCCCGTAACTCGGCCCCTCCGCCTTCGGAGATCCCGGACTGGGCCAAGGAGTTCCAAGACGTCTTCGACAAGGAGTCCTTTGACACGTTACCAGAACGAAGGGCTTGGGACCACGCTATCGAACTCGTCCCCGACGCAAAGCCCGCTAACTGCAAGGTGTATCCGATCTCCCCCCTCGAACAGCGCGAACTTGACGAGTTCATCGAGGAAGGACTTGCCACAGGCCGTATTCGCCCTTCGAAATCTCCGATGGCCTCCCCCGTCTTCTTCGTTAAGAAAAAGGACGGAGGGCTTCGGTTTGTCCAGGACTACCGCGCCCTCAACGCAATGACGATTAAGAACCGGTACCCCCTTCCGTTGATTAACGACCTTATCAACAGGCTCAAGGGCGCTCGTTACTTCACCAAACTCGGCGTTCGCTGGGGTTTTAATAACGTCCGGATTAAAGAAGGAGACGAGTGGAAGGCGGCCTTTCGGACTAACCGAGGGTTGTTCGAACCTTTGGTGATGTATTTCGGCCTGACAAACTCCCCCGCGACGTTCCAAACGATGATGAATGACATTTTCCAGGATCTCATTCTTTCAGGCGACGTTATGATCTACCTCGACGACATCCTTATCGCACATTCGGACCTCCGCAAGCACCGCGAGATCGTCCGGGAGGTCCTTCGGCGGCTCCGAATGCACAAGTTGTACCTTCGCAAGGAAAAGTGCGACTTCGAGAAATCGTCAATCGAGTACTTGGGGGTCATTATCTCGCACAACCATGTCGAAATGGACCCCGTTAAAGTCGCCGGAGTCTCCGCATGGCCTCCGCCCGAAAACAAGAAGGACGTTCAGCAGTTCCTGGGGTTTGCTAATTTCTACCGCAGGTTCATTCGGGATTTCTCGGCCCTGGCGCAACCTCTCTTTGCGCTCACCAAGAAAGACCAGAAATGGACCTGGGGAGACGCCGGCCGCCGCCTTTCAAGCCATCAAGGACGCGGTCGTATCAGAACCTGTCTTAGCGATCCCGGACGACTCTCGGCCTTTCCGACTTGAAGCAGACAGCTCAGATTATGCGACGGGGCGGTTCTTTCACAACAATCCGCCCCGGACGGGAAGTGGCACCCTGTAGCGTTCTATTCCAAAAGCTTAAATGATGTCCAGCGCAACTACGAGATTCACGACAAGGAGATGCTCGCGATCATCCGCGCACTCGAGGAGTATCAGCATTTCCTCGAGGGCGCCGCGCATCCGGTTGAGATCTGGACTGACCATAAGAACTTGGAATACTTCCGAAAGGCGCAACACCTTAATCGTCGGCAAGCCCGATGGTCGCTGTACCTTTCCAGGTTTGACTTTACGCTGCACCACGTCCCAGGTCGCCAGATGGGCCGTCCCGATGCTCTCTCCCGCCGGCCTGACCACGGTATCTCCGACGACAACTCGGATGTCACCCTCTTACGCCCCGAACTGTTCCACGTTCACGCGCTTGAGGCCGTCACTGTCTCTGGGCCTGGCTCCGAACTTGTCCGCGACATCAAGGAAGCGCTATCCGGTGAGCCTGACCTAGAGGAACCCGTCGCTCTTGCAGCTCGGCAACTCTTGAAGGTCCGAGGTCAAGCTCGGGGCCCCCGCTCATCGCGTTCGGACGAGTGGGCCGTCTCAGGCGACCTCCTGTACTTCCGCGGCAAGGTCGTAGTCCCCAAAGACAAAGACCTGAGGAGGCGCATTATAGAGCTCTGCCACGACACGCGTGTCGCCGGACATGCCGGACGGTTCAAGACCCTGGAGTTGGTTTCGCGCAACTACTGGTGGCCACAGATGTCCCGCCATATCGGACGCTACGTCGCGACCTGCGACTTATGCTGTCGTAACGAAGGCCCTCCGAAGGCTTCCGCATGGGGAGCTACATCCAACCGAAGTCCCCCCCGAGCGCTGGCACACCGTCACTGTGGACTTCATCGTCGAGCTCCCCGAGGCCCATGGGTATGACGCGGTTATGGTAGTGGTTGACGCCCTCGGGAAACGCGCTCACTTCACCGAATGCCATACGACAATAGACGCGGTCGGAGCTGCCCGCTTGTACTATCGGAACGTCTGGAGACACCACGGAACCCCCGAGAAGTACATTTCGGACCGTGGTTCGCAGTTCATCGCTGACTTCACGCGCGAACTCTGGCGCTTAATTGGCGTCAAGCCGGCTACCTCTACGGCTTACCACCCGCAGACCGACGGACAAACCGAACGCGTTAACCAGGAGCTCGAGCAGTACATCCGAATCTTCACCAACTACCAACAAGACGACTGGGACGAGCTTATCCCTGCCGCCGAGTTCGCCTATAACAACCACGTTCACTCCTCCACTCAACAGGTACCCTTTATGATGGACACTGGCCGGCTCCCCTGAATGGGTTTCGAGCCGGGCACCCGCTCAGAGTTGGAGTCAGTGAACGAGTTTCGCGATCGGATAGCGAACGGCGTCTCCGAGGCGAAAGCCGCACTCGTCAAAGCCAAAGACGAGTATAAACGGTACTACGATCGGAGACGATCGGACGCTCCGAATATTCAAGTTGGTGATAAGGTTTGGTTAGATGCCTCTGACATCAGAACAACTCGGCCCTCCGAGAAGTTCTCCCACAAGCGCCTCGGACCGTTCAAGGTGCTCGCAGAGGTTAGCAAAGGTGCCTACAAGCTCGACCTCCCCCCGCGTTACTCCAAGCTCCACCCCGTCTTCCCCGTTGTTAAACTCGAGCTCGCTCAGGACGACCCCTTCAATGGACGACCCGGCTACGACAAACCGCCCCCCGAACTAGAGGACGGAGTCCCCGAATGGGAAGTCGAGGAAATCTTGGATGCCAGGATAAGGTATAAGCGTCTTAACTACTTCGTCAGGTGGAAAGGCTACGATGCTTCGCACGACTCGTGGGTTCGGTTCGACCGTGTCTTCGCGCCAGACAAAATTGCGGACTTCTATCGGAGGTACCCAGGTAAACCACGGCACATCGCCTCAGCGACCTTCGACTCCTTGCCCTTCCGAACTATGCGTCGGGGACGCCGCATTCAAAGGGGGGTGATGTCAGGGGAACCCCCGCTTCGGCCTCCTTCGGACCCTCCGAACGCATCCGAGGCGCATCCGACCGGCGCCCCCCGGGACGCTCCGACCCACCCCGACCATCGTCCCACGGCCTCCTTCGCCCGCACAATCACCGATCCGTCAAGACCCTCCCAACGATCACCTTGGGACAGAGCCTGCGACGCCGCCGCTCAGGCCTTCTGCGCTCTCGTCGGCAGTTACGGACGACCAGTATATAGTTGGCGCCCTAGCAGGCGGACCCTTAGAGTTTCTTCTCTTTGGATCCTCCCCTGCTAGGTCGGTCCCTCCGTGTATTTCCTGTAGTCTTATTCACGCTTTGGATCCTCCCCTGCTAGGCTTTCGTCGGAGTCTCCAGGGTTGCCCTTACAGAAGGTGGTTGACGTCCGCGCTATCGGCGGGGAGGTCGCGCAAGAAGGTTTTGAAGGCCTCAGTAGCGTCGCGGGGACAGTCACGCACGCATACGCGGCGTGCAAGAATCTGGAGTAAATCACGTAAGAGACGTCAACAAAACGCTCGACCAGCTGCAGTTGCGGTGGACATACTTACTCGGGCACGCAACGACAACGCGTCTAAGCGCGCGAGATGCAGGTCTGCATGTGGCACTGAACGCGACATGATGGGAAGGAACAGACCAATAAGTAATGTGACGTGACACGACCTGTCAAAGACACGTGCCCGGGCGGCGGCGTTTCCATCGCCGAACCGAATGGCATTCTTTTTTCTTGGGGGGCGTGTTGTTCGGTACACACATATTATTGGTCTGGGTCACTTCCTTGGGTGAGTGCCTGGCACCCGCTCCCCGTTGTGGAATAACCAGCGCAGGGATGTCCCGATCTCCGGATCAGCAGTAGCCGGTCTGGCTCCGGGCCTGCGGCCGCCTGCCGCCTCTGCCACAGTCGGCGTGGCTAACTGGGTGGCAGGATGGACAGCCTGCTTACTGTCTGGAGACTGGAAATACTTATGTATGCAACCTCGACATAACGATATTTCTTGTGGGAGAGTCTACCGGCTGCACGGCATGCCGTTGGGCACCACGGAGGATAGGAGAGCCAATGTCGGCGCATGCCGCTCCACCTACGAGACTTCAGTCGCGGGACGCCGTTCGACGCGGTGCATACTTGCCACTTTGACTACTGGTTTATCGTCCGACGTCCGTTTTGGGGCCAGACCAATCCGATGTGGATTTTTGCTTAGTTGCTTCATTCTACTTACTTCAACTTGCAGTCAAGTGCTTGGAAGACTGTTGGAACATAGAGCCTGCAGCCTGAGGGAGTCGCGTCCCACACCCACATGAGACGGTGTTCCACTGTGGGTGAACTTGAAGCACCGGGCCGTTCGAAGCGGTGGCAGCGTCATGAACATTCGCCAATATGGTAACATTTTTTAGTCTCTCCTTGATGTTGACATCATGTTGTGATGGGCCGAACTCGAAGCCCGAGACCGAGAATCCAGCCTACCGAGCGCCAAGCAACCGGCATACCGCTGTTCGCCACGGAGGACCCGAGAGCCAAGGCCGGCGCGTGCCGCTCCACTGGCACTTACCATGTGAGTTGGGACTTTATCGACACGACCCGGCATGCGCCGGCGCCTACGGGCGATTTTGCAATTGGTTGCTCGGGGCCGGACCGACTGCTTCGGCCCGAGCGTTGGCGCCAGCGGCGGATCGCACCCATCCGGCCCTGTGGATTGTTAAGTATTTCATTCGTGCATAGGACCGCGCCGCGTCGTCTCCCGCACCCACAGCAACCAGAAATTGTGTTTGTCAAGTAAGCGGTGACGCGCCGTTCGACGCGGCGGCGGCGCCAATCACGCTGTTAAGATGCCATAACCTTTTCGAAGTTTTCTTTTCTGTAAAAAAAACGCATGATTTGATCTTCTGACCTGGAAATCAGGCGGAGCCCGGTACGATCGGGCGCCGGCTGGTCGCTGCACTGGCACCGCGCCTCTATCACGGTCACCGCTGGTGAAAGACTCGGACTTGCGGGACGACCGAACTTGCGGCCGGCACCGGAGTTTGTAAGTCCTGCCATTGCCGCTGCCGTTACGCTGCTGGGCCACCACAACCCACCATTGGCAGAAAGCATTTATCATCAGCCTCACCAGAAAAAAATGCACCTCCATACGCGCACACGCCGACGCCCGTGCCGAACGGCGACCCACCCACAAGCTGTCCTTCATTATCCTAAAACTTGGTGGGTGCGGGCACGGACGCCCGCCGCCCGCCCGTAGCAGAGGTGCAGCCCTGTGTCGGTCGGTGGTTGACAGATATTCTGGGTGGGCACCAAAAATATATATACTACCTCTCAACCGAATCAGCCAGAGCCGGATACGATCCGGACGACCGCGGTCCATGCGTGCCCTGCGCACTTCTCTTCTCGGGGAGGTTCGTATAGCGAAGTATGAGCACCCAAAAAACGATATTCCAGGATCACACTGTATTATCAGCCAGAGCCGGAGACGATCCGGCGCCGACTGGGTTGAAGGTCACGGTCCCCCCCGGCGGTCAACGACCTGCGAGACGAAGGCATGCGGCTGGCTGGATAGACACAACAGAGGTACTACACAAAGAGATAGTACCTCTTTGCGAGGCCATTTTCATGCCCCCTAAACCAGCGGAGGTTCCGAGTGCTCAATGACATGTTCAGACATCCCACAGCATCGGCCAAAAAAAAAAAACTCTTGGGGACAACCTTTGTCTCCTAGCCTGCCGTCGCCGCGTCGAACGGCGTTCCCGCATGCGCACGAAGGGCGAAACTGGTAGGTCGCGCGGGTGCGGCACTCGCCGCCGCCAGCTTGTTGATACCAGTCGTCCCATAGAGAAGAAGCGTGCTGGGCGGAGGTCATGCACAAGGATATATGGATGGGTATATAGCAGACAGCGCGCTACTTGTTCACCAAACAATTAATCGGGCGAATATCCCAGTAAAACGGCGCCGACACCACTACCCTCGGTCAGCCTCTTTCCTCTGTTCTATGGGGCTACGCACCGTCCGCTTTCACACCAATGAAATGGCGCGGCGTCGCATTGACCCACGCCTTCGGATTCGGGCCGGCGCCGCCGTCGACGAGGCCGATGGTCGCGATCTCGCTGGTGGACCCCTGGGAAATGTCCGTCTTCCAGTTGGACGGCGGGATGGTCGTGCCCACAAAGTGCCCGTCATGCGCCTCGCACACGACCCACCCGCGGTCGCCCGTGGGAAAGTGGAAGCGCACGCCCTTGTCGCCGCCGGCCTCGAGCGATGCGCGGCTGGGCGGGGGTATGTAAGCTGGAGGGAAAGGGAAGAGGGAGGGAAGCGTACTCGGGGTGGACCTGGATGGCGAGCACGCTGTTCGTCGAGTCGAGGTATTGCGTGCCGTTGGTCGACAGCGTGAAGCACTGACAACAGGTCAGTTTAGCCTCTGGTCTCGCGACAGGGACACACCTTGTGTGGGTCGAGGGTTATCTGCGCAAGCGCGGAGGCTGCGAAGACAAGCAGGGCAGCGACGGGCGAGCGCATTGTGGAGGGGAAAGGAGTGGAAGTGGTCGGAAGCAACCTGACTGGCGCACATGTGCCCCAATCACTCCGCCTGCCAAGGATTCGCGAATGATGATTTCAAGTTCTTCTTGGCCACTCCGGCGCTCCGTTGGGCGAGCCATGACCAGCAGTCTTGCTTGGGTCGCTCGGGTCGTCTGTTCCGGGGCTCGCAACTTGAGCGTGCCCGTAGAAGCACAGTAGGCCGAATGCAGCTGGTGGCGGGGATGAAGCACCTCGTGGCCACGTGAGCGGCGCTGATCTTTCCGCCGCATGCTTGTCCCCACACCCAAGGGCGCCCAGCCGGGAACGCATTTCCTCCCTCCAAACTGGCCGTGGACATCCAGTCGCGCATGCGACCACACTACCCAACGGCCCCAGCTTCCGCGCCACAGCGCCCCAAGCTGACGTTGGCATCACTGTGCTGTCATAAATAGATGCCTTTTTTTCTCCGCAGCTATGAGCACCCTGGCTCCCTCTCTCCATCAGTCATTAATTAACTACAGTCCTCCCGCTGGGAACTGCGCTGTGCCCGGCGCCAAAACCTGTGAGACTAGTCACTGGTAGATGATTCGAGATCCGAAAAACTCTCAATCTAGATCTAAGCCTTGCTCCTTGCCAGTCGACCTTCGAGTCAGCAAAGCACCCATCCAAGCCAGCTCGACACCTATTGGCAGTTCCCGCGTCGGATCGCATCCGGCTCGAGACCATTTGCGTGATGATGCCCAGCAGCCTTCATTTTACATCGCACAGTCCAGAAGCGCGACCATATCTCGATTCTCGAGTCTGGGTTGTAACTTAAGCTCCCCCCAAGTTGTGACCCCTGAAAAGCCGTGCCTTCAGTTGGCCCTTGGAAATGAAAAAAAGAAAAAAAAACTTGTATATGAAAACCCTTATTCCATGACCTCGGCAAAGCACCCATTCAAGCTAAAACCACTAGCAGTTTCCGTGCCCGAGTGGGATCGCATCGGGCTCGAGACCATCAATTTAAACTGATCAACTGCCTTTTTCAATTTACATTGCACGAAAAGCGGTCATTTTATCCCCTCAGACCACCTCATATATCCCCAGCCCGGTGAGATAGCGCCGGAGCACCTGCCGGAGCTCGCCGACGTGCCCGGGCCGACACCCGAGCGCGCGCAGCTCTGGCGCGGACAGCGCGAGCAGCCCCGCGACGGTGCCGCACCCCCCGTCCTCGAGGATCTGCAGGAGGCCGGCGGGGACGGCCGGCCCGGCGCCCGCGTTGGAGAGCGCGGCGAGCGGGAGGGGCGGGACACGGTGCAGGTCGGCCGGCGCGAGGTTGATCACGCGCGGGGGGCTGCGCGGACTGGCCCTGGGGGAAGTATGTCGTGCCGTAGTTGTCGCCCCCATTCCCTCCTAGGCGATATCGATATCGATCAGCCAGCTCGGGGGCCCGTAGACGGGCAGGACGCACCCGCGAGGATGATGCCGTAGTTGGTGGCCATCGGGTCTCTGTAGATACGGATACTGTGTTGTCGAGACAAGCTCGGGCTGGAGGGAGAGTGCAAGATAGGTAAGCGCCCGAGCACGCGGCCAAGAAGCGCAGTCGGGCGCTTACGCGGCGCTCTCCGGCCCGGGGCCAGCGTTGTCCAGTTCAACGACCAAAAGTAAGTATGCCAGATCAGAAATTGTATTCGTTTAAAAAACAACAAGTCAACAGACAATAAACCTGTTATTCTACGGGCCGGAGTCGAAACGAACGCGGCGCCGTAGAGGTCAGGCCGGTCAGCGCTGAACCGTCACAGCGTTCAGCCGTGACGGCGCAGCACGGCGCCCACACGATGACTTGTCACTTCAAGTGGCAACGACACATGCGCACATCAGCGCAAATCACCCTTCCTGCCGACCGTGATTCGCGCCGTCGGATTCCAATTCCTGCAAGCAAGCAACAAGCAAGCGGGGATGCTTAGTACTGTACGACAGTCCATTCGTCCCTCTTGGCTGCAGCTCGAAGGCAGGAAGCTGGGCTGCCGGCTCGAGGAGAACGCAAGAAGAGGGCGAGAAAAGAAAGGGCAGGGAAGGAAGGGACACGGGCGCCACGTGAGCTATGCGGATCATTTATCCGCGTGCTTGCTTCCCCACGGCCAAGATCGCCCAGCGACAGCCAGGAGATGGCGCCAGCTCTCCTCTCTCCTTCGTGTCGCTCGTTCCCTCCCTAGCCATGCGTGCTACCGTGGCCACTGCGCTCGTTTTTGTTTCTTCTGTGCTGGCGGTGACGAAGCCGATCCACTCGCACAACGACTGTACGGATGTCCCCTTTGCCGCTGTAGTCCAAGGCTTATGCCCCTGGTAGATACCCGCGCGGTGCCGTTCTGGACTGCGTTCAACCTGAGCGTGATGAGTGTCGAGGCGGACGTGTGGTGGCAGAGCAGCCAACTCTTCGTATGTCCCTCTTTCCCTTCCTTCCCCTCTGAATGTCGGCAGGTCGCGCACACGAGCGGCGACATCAACCGCTCCAAAACCCTGCAGTCGCTCTACCTCGACCCGATAATGGGCATCCTCAACGGCTCGCGCGCCGTGCCCACCCCGATTTCCGTCTCCAACCCCATCCAGCTGCTCATCGACATGAAGACCTCCGGGTCGTCGACCTTCCCGCCCGTGGCCGCCGCGCTCGCGCCCCTCCGCGCAGCGGGCCACCTCACCACCTACGACGCCGCGACCGGCACGCTCCGGCCCGGCGCGGTCACCGTCGTCGGTACCGGCAACACCCCGCTCGCGAGCGTGCTCGCGCAGAACCCACGTGACGTCTTCTTCGACGCGGACATCCGCACGCTCTTCAGCACGCGCCCCCGCCGCGGGCCAGACCTGGGGCCCGCACATCGCCCCCCTCGCGAGCGTCGACTTTGGCAGCGTGGCGAGCAGCGCGCAGATGCAGGAGCTGGTGCTGAACGCACATGACCTCGGCATCAAGTCGCGCTTCTGGAACACGCCGGCGGCGGTCGGCACGTGGAATGCGTTTTGGGCGGCGGGCTCGGACTGGGTGAATGCGGATGATCTGCTGGCGGTGTCGAATGCGTGGGCGGCGTTCTCGGGGGCACTGGTGCCGACCAGGTTTGAGTATACTGGGTTGGACGCGCAGAAAGCGTTGGAGCGGCGCGAGCTGTAGGATAATTAATTCGTTGAGTATATATGTTACAGTATACCCCCCTGCTAGTGCGTCATATGCATAAGCCTTGAGTGCACACGTCACACACACACCTTCTTATTACATTTGTTCTTGATGAAAAAGGTGCACCGGTCAACCCGGAAGGGGGCTTCTGTTCACTGTTCAGTGTTCCCTGTGGTGTAATTTTTCCTGTTTTGTCAAAGAAGTCATGCACAATTGGATGGGGCATTGGAAAAGCGGACGACGTAGGTGGTCCAGAATCGTCAACGTTCACAAACAGAACGAAGTTCGTTGTTTGTGCTAGTGGTGACCAGAAATGAGACTGACCGCTTATCTAAAACCACACTCATCAGCAGATCTGGACCGGTCTTTGATCATCAATCACCGCAATCACAGGCTATCACTTCCGGCATTCTGCGGCATCGTGTCTCTGTTGGTGATCATTGACCTCAAACCATGCCGCAGTACTCGGCAGTTGCATGCGGCATGGCTGCCAAATGGCTGCGGCCCAGACCAACCAGTATTCACCCATCATAAGAAGTTGGATAACAAGAAAGCACTGGCAGTCAAAGATAGTGTACTTTTACTGTAAGTTACAACATGACGTTCTGTTTGTCTCCGCCGCGCGTCGGCCTTATTTCATCCAGAGCTTTGGGCACGTGTCTTTGACAGATCGCGTCACGTCACATTACTTATTGGTCTGTTCCTTCCCATCATGTCGCGTTCAGTGCCACATCCAGACCTGCATCTCGCGCGCTTGGATGCGTTGTCGTTGCGTGCCCGAGTAAGTACGTCCACTGCAACTGCAGCTTGTCGAGCGTTTTGATAACGTATTATGTGATTTACTCCAGATTATTGCACGCCGCGTATGCGTGCGTGACTGTCCCCGCGACGCCACCGACGCCTTCAAAGGCTTCTTACGCGACCTCCCCGCCGATAGCCCGGACGTCAACTACCTTCTCCCTGCGCTCTTCTTCCTCCTGGACCCGTCCAACGTGCCGACCGCCGGCGAAATTGAACTGGCGAACCTGGAGGCGGTCATCAATGATTTTGCGACATACATCCAATTCACCCTGGCCAAGGTTGACCCCTATCCAACCCCGGCTTACACTGCGATGTGGCTCCGGCTGTTCCCCTGGATTGACTTTTTCGACACCTACCGCTCTGCGCTGCCGGCAGCATGCACGCGTCCGCTCGGCCGCACTTTTGCACGGCTCTACCTGGTTAACGGCGTCGAGGCTGACGCAACGGACCTCAAGGGCTTGCGACTTCCCACGATCTGGACGCAGCCGCGATTTTCGTATGTCGTTGGCAAAGAGATGGCGGCAATGTTCGACCGGATTGGGGATTCCTCAGTGGTCGAACAGGCCAGCATGGTACACACCGCCTTCTTCGCCAGCAAAAGCGGAGACGCATATAATATCGATATCTATTCCTTTCTGGATGGCGCAACAGGTGGGAGTGCACAACAGTGGGCAGCCACACTAACCAACAGCTTCCGCCGAACCGTGCGTGCTGTGGCGGGGCGCCGTTTGATCAATGCTGAGGCCATAATGCTCATCACCACCATCATCGGGACAGCACATGATACATTGTCTCTCCTGAAAGACTCGGAGGAAGGAAACCTGCCAGTCGTGGGCGACTTCGTCAGAGGTCTTCTGGATACAAAATGTGTGGACCCGCTTACCCAGGCGGTGGGCATCCTCGCGCTTCCAGGTCATCCTCATGAGGCACGCGAAATAGAACCCACTCGGCAGGAAGCCCAGTTTCAAGTCTTGGTACTCCTCCGCATGTTATTGGACGTTCACCTACGCTACGTGCCCCTTCTCTCTGTGTCTCACGGTCTCCTCTCCGCTCTGGGGGCCACGGCCGGCTTAAACCTCCTCGCCGACGCTGAGGAGATAGTGCGGTACATCATCACCGGCGTCTTGCAACCAGCGCTCACCAATCCACAAATTGTGAGCGCGCTAGCGCAGGACACGTCTGACTCCGCGCAGCGGCTAAATCAGTACCAACAATCGATTCTTCGGCCACAGTTTGACGTGTTGATTGCTGGCATCGAGCGACAGAGTTTGCGTGTGCCGCGCTGGATGGTCAAGGCTGAGAGACCGGGCAGGGTGTGCGACGGATTCCACGTTTGTTGACGATGCTGATAGCGCTCTACGGTGTCTTACTACTTCCACAGTGCATTGTCGTTGGCGAGAAACGCACATTCCGCCAATGCACGGGATGCAACTACCGGCTGTACTGCTCCGTTCCATGTCAGCACTCGGACTGGACCACGGGCAACCACCGCAACATGTGTCGCGCCTATTTGTCGTTGTCCACAGGTGCGCCGATTCACAGGCCAATTCCCAAATTATGATGCCCAAATCCCGCCGCAGGGTTGGCCTCGCTGACATTAGCCTCCACACGCTCGTTCCTTCGGTTTATGATGAACGAAGAGTACGTCCGCGACCACGCCGGAAGCGCCGGGTCGCCGCCGAATATTGCGATGTTCGACTACCGCGGCGAATCAGGCAACACAGTGCGCTATCTCGACAGCCTCACTACTAGTAGGGCGGTAACCGTCTCTTCCCCGGGGCTGTCCGGGTTCTACGAGGCGCTGGAGGCCGACTACGTCCAACGGGCGGCGCGGGACGCGGAGGTGGGTGTGGGGTGGAATATCTGCATTCTGCGGCGCATGGGCTCGGACTCGGACTCGGACGGCGCCTTTACGTTTGTCCATCGCATCTTGCGCAAACGATAGTTTCAAGTTGTCCAGTTGCACCGTGCCCCGTGTGCAATTCTTGGCTTTGCAAGCCGGTGCATTGTTTTTTTTTGGACTGCTTTGCTCACAAGTTCTGTTGCTGACCTCCACCCAATGGCACCCATGGCTACTAATATTGGCCTTTCATTTGTTCAAGCTCTTCTATCATTTATGAGCCCGAGATGGCAAGTACCACTTGTCTGCCCTCCTATAGTACATTTGTGTAAATTAATACAAGTGAGCAAGGGCCAAGGAGTCAAGGACTGCCATTCAATCCGGCATGCTATTGATATTTTTCAAAAAAGTAAATACAAATACAGAGTTCTATTTACCTCCTGTAGAGCAACAACACTTAACGGAAAAGAGCAGACTACTAGTATAATTGTATAGGTGTACAGCCTAGTACAGAGAAAGAAGCAGTATTTTGAATACTACTACTAATCTAATTACTCTTATATTAAGCAGATGTCGTGTGAATGTATGCACATGTTTGGCATGAGCTTTAACAATTGATTTGCTTCACACTTCCATTTTTGGGGTCACTGCTGTTAAAGTCCTAAATTGGTAAGAAAAGCTGTAAAAATGGAACTAATCCTCATTGGGATGCAAAGCTGTGAGTGATGTCTTGCACTCAGTACTGTGAACAAGTGGTATATAAGGTTATTCTCAAATTGCCCACAAATTGAGAAATAAGTACAAAAAGTTTAGTGACATGGGTTACACTCAACATATATTAGCAACAGATATTTAAAAAGGCCAGTAGGCATCTCTGTGTCATTCTGTAGTGAGTAGCAATGTTCTTAATGTAGAAATTTATTATTTAAGTGATATTCAAGTTCAAAGCTGGGGCGTAGCCCCAGCCCTGTCTAGTAGTAATAATAACAATAGGTATTGAGTGCTACACTTCCTAAAAAACAGAAAATATAGCTTAAGTATTACTCAACACCTCCACCTGTATAGTGGGAAAAGACTTGGCCCAAATGTTCTCCTTCAGAGATGAATACTGTACTATTTCAATTGATTTGGCATAAGCAGCCCGAACCGCCGTCCGACGCAGCATGGCACTTTCTCAGATGTGTGGGCTACACTTTGTTTTTGGCACCTTTCGAGTCTATGCCTTGCTTAGACTCCACTGCCCCTAGGGCTCAGGGTCTACTAGTAACCCTTTCCATTTGTAAATATATATTTACTGTACTGGTGGGGCCTGTGTGCACCTGTTAATACAGTGTCAGGGGAACCTCCCTTTCGGCCCGTCGGAGACGCCTCCGATTCCGGTCCGACTCCGGTTCCGTCTCCGGTCCGGCCCTCCATCTCGCCCGCACAATCACCGATCCGTCAACGCCCTCCCGACGGTCGCCCTGGGACCTCGCCTGCGACGCCGCCCAAGCCTTCTGTGCCCGACAGCGGCAGCTACGGACAAGCAGTATATAGTCAGCTACCTAGCAGGCGGACCCTTAGAGTTTCTTCTCTTTGGATCCTCCCCTGCTAGGTCAGCTTCATTTGTATTCGCTTACCAATGTTCACGCCTTTGGATCCTCCCCTGCTAGGACCTTGATCTCAGGCCTCCGGGGTTGCCCTTACAGCAGAAGAAACTCTCTACGGGATCAACCGGACAAGATTGCCAGGTTCGGCGCTGACTCAGGCTCGGAGTACGAGTCCGTTCCGCCCTCGTCACCGCCCCTGCCACTTGTCCCCTCCTCCTCTACTCCTGTGGTCCCCGCACCCGTCATGCCGTCCGGAGTCACTCCTACCGCAGACGCCCGGCTGGACTCACTCGAGGCGAAAATCGATAGCCTAACTGAGGCCCTTGCTTTACTCACCAACCAGGCTTCCGCTGCCGCTGCCGCCGCTAATAATGCTGGCGGACCCCAAACACCATCGCCGGAGACGTCGATTCCGACTCCGACTCCGGTCCAGGGCGACTCCGAGCCCTTTTCGGCGACATAAACCTCGCCTCAAAATTGGTCTTGCGACCAAACCCCCCGTTCACCTTCAACGGCGACCGGAAACGCGGCCGCGCGTTCCTCTACGCGGTCCGCACCTCGCCCGCCTTGCCCCTGAGGCCTTCGTGGTCAACGGAGAGGCGAGCGAGAAAAAGGCTGTCCGCTATGCCATGTCGTTTATGGCAGAAGGACCCGCTCAGCAATGGGCGGAGCGCCACGGAAGCAAAGCCCCCGTTTCCGTTTCCGTCCTGGGGCTCATTCGTTTCCGAGTTTCGACTCCGGTTCGTCGAGGAGAATGAGCAAGATCATGCTCTCTCCAAGCTGGAGACTTCCGCCTATCACATGGGTACAAAGGATGTCTACCAGTACACCGACGACTTCGAGGACCTGATGGACCTCGCCGGATTCGAAGACGCTGGGTCAAGGTGACCAAGTTCCGCCACGGACTTGACCCCCTGATCAATAACGGAATCACGTCCTCGAACGACCCCCCGGACCTCCGGGATTACCTTAGCTGGCGCACCTGGGCCTTCCGTCAATACGAGGCCCTGGTCCGGGCCAAGCTGATCAAGTCAGCCGCCCCCAAGGCGCCTGGCGGTTTGATTCGGACTCCGTTTCCGGTCAACCGCATCCCGGCTCCGGCCCCTTTCCGCCCGGTGGCTCCGGTCGTGCCACCCGCGGCCCGCGCCCCCCTCCGGCGCCTCCAGCTCCCGTCCCTATGGAGTTGGATCGCACCAGGGCTCGGGGTGCCCCTCGTCGCGCCTGCTTCAGGTGCGGCGACCCAAACCATCTCGCCCGGGATTGCCCCCTCCCCCCCGATGTCCGCTCAATGGACATCCTCGACGAGGTGATCCAACAACTCGGTGACGAGATGTTAGCGGAGTTGATCGCCCGCTACACGGACACAGCTGCCCTGCCGGAGACGGCAGCGGAGTCGATGGCCGGAGAGGATTTTGTCCCCCGCGACGAGTGACTGGTGTGCCCTCGTTCGCGTCTATAAATCGTTTTGCCTCTTTGTATGATGAATGCAGTTCCTTGCCCTACAATGAGCCCGAAACGAAAGACACACCCTCTCCTGCCCCCGCCTCGACTCCGTCTCCGACTCCGCCCGCGACTCCGGTCATCGTCCTCCGCCGCCTCACTGCCTGGGAAAAGAAACTGCCCAAGCAGTACACCGTTGCCGCTGCCCCTGGGGCGAACTCCCTTCACCTCCCGTTAGAGCTCGAGTCCACCACCAGCGCGCTGAAGCTCTCGCTCTCTGGGCTTGTCGACTGTGGTGCCACCTCCGACTTCATTGACACGAACTACGTTGCTCGGAATGGCATTCCGGTCCGCACCCTCGATCAGCCGATTCCGGTGTTCAATGTCGATGGCACCCCCAATGACGCTGGCTCCATCAAACAGATCGCGGACTTGGTCCTGCGCTACAAGGGCCATGCCGAACGAGTTCAGCTGGCCGTCACTCATCTTGGCAAGCAAGACCTCATCCTGGGGTATTCCTGGTTGCGGAAACATAACCCAGAGATCAATTGGGAAACCAAGGAGGTCAAGATGACACGGTGCCCCCAATTGCTCGACCTGCCGTGAGGAAGAGCGGGTCGAACGGACCGAGTTGCGGCGACTCCGGTCGCTTCAGAAGCGTCTCCGCTCCGGCCCGTTCCCCTCGGTCTGCGCCATGGACCTTTCTGGGTCTGATGACGGAGACGATTCCGTCTCCGGTGACGACTCCGGCCTGCCTGATCTGACGCCGGACTCCGGCGACGACGATGACGATGGTCAGCTTGAAGATGGTGACCGCATCTTCTACACAGCGTTCCGCCCCTCGGAGGAGATACGCGCTGGCAGTACTGTCTCGCAACGCCTGGCCGAAGCCTTTGCCAGGAACTCCGCCCCTCCGCCCTCCGAGATCCCGGACTGGGCTAAGGAGTTCCAGGACGTCTTCAACAAGGAGTCCTTCGACACGCTACCGGAGCGGAGAGCCTGGGACCACGCCATTGAACTCGTCCCCGATGCTAAGCCCACCAACTGCAAGGTGTACCCCATCTCGCCCCTCGAGCAACGCGAGCTCGACGCGTTCATCGAGGAAGGGCTTTCGACGGGCCGGATTCGCCCCCCAAGTCTCCGATGGCGTCTCCGGTCTTCTTCGTCAAGAAGAAGGACGGCGGACTCCGCTTCGTCCAGGACTACCGTGCTCTCAACGCGATGACTGTCAAAAACCGGTACCCCCTTCCGCTGATCAACGACCTCATCAACCGGCTCAAAGGCGCTCGTTACTTCACCAAACTCGGCGTCCGTTGGGGCTTCAACAACGTCCGGATCAAGGAAGGTGACGAGTGGAAAGCGGCTTTCCGGACTAACCGAGGCCTGTTCGAGCCCTTGGTGATGTATTTCGGCCTGACAAACTCTCCCGCGACGTTCCAAACGATGATGAATGACATTTTCCAGGACCTCATCCTCTCCGGAGACGTCATGATCTACCTTGACGACATCTTGATCGCCCATTCCGACCTCCGGAAACACCGGCAGATTGTCCAGGAGGTCTTACGGCGACTCCGGGAGCACAAGTTGTACCTTCGAGCGGAGAAGTGCGACTTTGAAAAATCGTCAATCGAGTACCTCGGAGTCATCATCTCCCACAACCACGTCGAAATGGACCCCGTCAAGGTCGCAGGCGTCTCCGCTTGGCCGACTCCGGAAAACAAGAAGGACATTCAGCAGTTCCTTGGGTTCGCTAACTTCTACCGCAGGTTCATTCGGGACTTCTCGACCCTTGCGCGCCCTCTTTTCGTGCTCACCAAGAAGGACCAGCAGTGGACTTGGGGTGATGCGGAGGCCTCCGCGTTCCAAGCGATCAAGGACGCGGTCACCTCGGAACCGGTCCTGGCGATTCCGGACGACACACGGCCTTTCCGACTCGAGGCGGACAGCTCTGATTATGCGACGGGGGCGGTTCTTTCACAATCCGCCCCGGACGGGAAGTGGCACCCTGTAGCATTCTATTCCAAAAGCTTAAATGATGTCCAGCGCAACTACGAAATCCACGACAAGGAGATGCTCGCGATCATCCGCGCACTCGAGGAGTATAGACACTTCCTCGAGGGCGCCGCGCACCCTGTCGAGATTTGGACTGACCATAAGAATTTGGAGTACTTCAGGAAGACGCAGCACCTCAACCGGAGACAGGCCCGGTGGTCCCTGTACCTCTCCCGGTTCGATTTCACGCTGCACCACAAGCCTGGCCGCGATATGGGTCGGCCTGACGCCCTCTCCCGGAGACCCGACCACGGAGTCGATTCCGACAACTCCGATGTCGTCCTTCTGCGGCCTGAACTCTTCCACGTCCGCGCACTCGAGGGCGTTTCCGTTTCCGGTCCCGGCTCTGAACTCCTCCGTGACATCCGTGATGCCCTCTCCGGTGAGCCTGACCTGGAGGAGCCCGTCGCACTAGCGGCCCGGCAACTTCTTAAGGTTCAAGGTCAAGCTCGAGGCCCCCGCTCCTCACGTTCTGACGAATGGGCCGTCTCCGGCGGTCTTCTCCATTTCCGAGGGAAGATCGTCGTACCAAAGGACAAGGACCTTCGGAGACGCATCATCGAGCTCTGCCATGACACCCGGGTCGCCGGACACGCAGGTCGTTTCAAGACCCTTGAGTTGGTCTCCCGGAACTACTGGTGGCCTCAGATGTCTCGCCATATCGGCCGGTATGTTGCGACCTGTGACTTGTGCTGTCGCACCAAGGCACTCCGGAGACTGCCTCACGGAGAACTGCACCCCACGGAAACCCCCCGGACGCTGGCATACCGTCTCCGTCGACTTCATCGTAGAGCTTCCCGAAGCCCATGGGTACGACGCGATCATGGTCGTCGTTGACACCCTCGGAAAGCGCGCCCACTTCTTGGAGTGTCATACGACGGTCGATGCAGTAGGGGCAGCCCGCCTCTACTACCGGAATGTCTGGCGGCACCACGGGACTCCGGAGAAGTACGTCTCCGACCGCGGCTCACAGTTCATCGCGGACTTCACCCGAGAACTTTGGCGTCTAATCGGCATCAAGCCCGCCACGTCCACCGCGTACCACCCGCAGACAGACGGTCAGACAGAGCGCGTCAACCAGGAGCTGGAGCAGTACTTGCGGATCTTCACCAACTACCAGCAGGACGACTGGGATGAGCTGATTCCGGCCGCGGAGTTCGCCTACAACAACCACGTTCACTCCTCCACGCAACAGGTCCCCTTCATGACGGACACGGGACGGCTCCCGCGCATGGGCTTCGAACCCGGAGTCCGTTCCGCCATGGAGTCAGTGAACGAGTTCCTGACCGGATCGCCACTGGTGTTGCTGAAGCCAAGGCCGCTCACTAAGGCCAAAGAGGAGTACAAGCGCTACTACGACCGGAGACGGACTCCGTCTCCGGAGTTTAAGGTTGGCGACCGTGTTTGGCTGGATGCCTCTGACATCAGGACGACTCGCCCCTCGGAAAAGTTCTCCCATCGCCGCCTTGGGCCCGTTCAAGATAGTCGCGGAGATCAGCAAAGGTGCCTACAAGCTCGACCTCCCTCCGCGACTACTCGAAGCTCCACCCGGTCTTCCCCGTCGTCAAGCTCGAGCTCGCTCAGGACGACCCCTTCGACGGACGGCGCCCGGCTACGACCAGCCCCCTCCGGACCTCGAGGACGGAGTCCCGGAGTGGGAAGTAGAGGAAATCCTGGACGCAAGGGTGAGGTATAAACGGCTGAACTACTTCGTCAGATGGAAAGGCTACGACGCATCGCACGACCAATGGGTCCGCTTTGACCGCGTCTTCGCCCCGGAGAAAATTGCGGAGTTCTATCGTAAGTACCCTGGCAAGCCACGACACATCGCCTCCGCGACCTTCGACTCGATTCCGTTCCGGTCTATGCGTCGGGACGCCGCATTCAAAGGGGGGGGTGATGTCAGGGGAACCTCCCTTTCGGCCCGTCGGAGACGCCTCCGATTCCGGTCCGACTCCGGTTCCGTCTCCGGTCCGGCCCTCCATCTCGCCCGCACAATCACCGATCCGTCAACGCCCTCCCCGACGGTCGCCCTGGGACCTCGCCTGCGACGCCGCCCAAGCCTTCTGTGCCCGACAGCGGCAGCTACGGACAAGCAGTATATAGTCAGCTACCTAGCAGGCGGACCCTTAGAGTTTCTTCTCTTTGGATCCTCCCCTGCTAGGTCAGCTTCATTTGTATTCGCTTACCAATGTTCACGCCTTTGGATCCTCCCCTGCTAGGACCTTGATCTCAGGCCTCCGGGGTTGCCCTTACATACAGCTGCAGACGATGACGGGCGGCGCGGCCGTACCCACACCAAGTGAATGTTTGTACAAGATAGCAGACCTCTCATGGGCCACCGTTCGACACGGTGCCGTAGTCGTTTGAACATGTTGAAGTTGTTTGCGGTCATTTTATTTTGCCGGCTGAATGCCGGGCCAATCAATCACTGGCAGTGTTGGTTACAAATGGTAATAAAGATTTAAATGCCCATTTTATTTGTGAACTTAGGCAAACATAAATTAAATACAAATAAATAGTTCAAGTGGCTTCCACTTCAACGGCACCCAAAATGTGTACAGTATGTGACATTGTCGCCACCAAATTGAAAATTTCAGCATCCAAGACCTCTGAGTGTGACTGCCAAAAATTTTCAGCATATCACGGCACCACGGCCCTGCGGGCCGCGCTAGCCGAAAATGGTCATTTACCAGGTAAATTCGGCCTGTTGTGTGTGACCGCCGAAAATTCGACATTTTAAAGGCGGTGTGGTGCCGCGTGACCGCTGAATTGATTAAAATGCTACAATAGTATGGTTCAAGTATTTGTGAACCTTAGAAACATTTATCCCCCATCTTAGAACCAACATTTCATCCCTATAAAGTTTATATTACATCTTCTTAGCACTAAGCTGCATTTGATCTTTTGTAATTTGGTAATATAATCATTAGGAAGTATACTTTTAATATCTATTTTGCATTGAAAGGGATATTGCAGCTTAAATGAACATGTTTCTCAGGAGCATATAGGTCATGAAAATTGACACAATATATGGCAAATTTTGTGCCAGTGAACGGACAGCTCAATTTTACTTGATGGGAAGAACTATTTATAAATAGTTTTAAACATTTATAATTATTACTGTTTGTACAGTATTTGTGGTTCTATTTGATTTTAAATTTTCATAAACAGAAATAAAACCATGGCCTCTGTCTGTCGGAAGAGGGGTTGTATCATACTATTAGGTCGCGACCGTGTCCACACAGCAAGTGCCGCCTGCCCCTCCCATGCCCAATCACAATCAACGATCGAGTGAGCAGCCCGAACCGCCGTTCGACGCGGCACGGCACCTGTCACTAGTAGTAGCCGGTAAGATTCAATAGTTTTTTACCCCTTCTGCGCCTGCCCCAGGGCCCATGCCCCTCCGCAGCGCAGCGCAGCTCAGCGCTGGCGCCTCCGTCACGGTCACGGTCGCAAGACGATTGGATACTATAATAGTTATTAGAATTTACTCGTGCCATCATACTAGGCAGTATCCGAGTCCACCGTGACGTCCCAGTTCGTCCACACAGCAAGTGCCGCCGCCTGCCCCTCCCATGCCCAATCAAAATCAACGGCCCAGTGAGCAAGGGCCCGAACCGCCGTTCGACGCGGCACGGCACGATTTCGTGTATGTGGTTCTCGAAGATTTTTTTTTCTGACACGAGTCATGAGCCTAAGGTGGTCGTGATTTATCTGCCATGCAGCGAGAAATAAGAAAAAAAAACAGTATTCGTGAAGCGTAAAGCGTAGCGAGAAAAGAAAGCGGTATCAAGAAAAGAAATTAATGGCGCGAAAAAAGCGACCTTTTACGCCTCAGCAGCAGCGGGAGCGGGAGCTGCGGCGGCTTCCTCCTTTGCCTCTGCTTCCAGCTCCTCCGTTTTCGTCTCGGTCTCCGGGACGACTTCCTTCTCCGCATCCACCTCAGCCTGGCCCTCCTCGTTGGTCTCCACCTTCTTTTCCCCCTCCTCCACCACCCCAACCGTGACCTCACCCGCCTCCTCCCCGTCCTCCCCCTGCACCACCTCGATAACGCTCCGTGGCGGGTCCGTCGACGTGCTGCTGCTCGGCGTCACCTCCGGGATCACCCCGCCCACCGGCGACGGCGGCTCCGGCGCGAGCCCCGTCGCGGTCCGGTACTCCCCCGTCCGCCGGCGGGCTCTCCGGCTCCAGCTCCTCGGGCAGGCCCTGTGCGATGAACGCGTGTGCGTCTTCTGCCGATTTGTCTTCAGCGTCCTCGGTACCCTCCTCGGCAGCCTCCTCAGTCTCGGTGGTGTCGGCCTCCTGCGCCGGTGCGGCCTCCGGCTCTTCGGTGATCTCGGCCTCGGCCTCGGCCTTCGCCTCCGTTGCAGCAACGAGCGCAGCGACCGGCGGCGCCGTCTCCGCCAACGCCAACACGCTCTCGAGGCTCGGCCCGTCCTCCGCAGCAGTGGTCATCGGGCTGGCCGGGAATCTGCCCTCGCCCTCCAGCATCATCGTGTCCGTCCTGCTCCTGCCCAGCCTTCTTGCCGTCGTGCTCGGGCTCAGCGCGTCCTCCGCGGGGCTGCCGCTGCTACCAGTCTCCTGGGGCGCTGTTTCGTGCGTGTTGACCTGCAGCGAGGCCCCGAGGAGCGTCGGCGCGGGCACTTCGCTCACCGCGACCACGTCTTTCTTATTCCCGGGGTTGGCGGTCTCAGCGACACGGGGAGGGATGACGAGGAAGTCGGCTGGAACGAGGTCGAACTTCTCTGTGAGCGCCAAGAATCTTGCGTAGAGCGAGCTCTCCGCCTCGGCCTGCTCGAACTCCTCGCGGTGGTGGAAGTACGCGTGTGCAAAGATACGCCCCAGCCGTCTTGCCAACGAGGAGAAGTGTCTATGCGAGGCGGCGGGGATTTGGAGCCGCGAGGGGAAGGCGCGCGGGGAGTTGAGCAGCGCGGTCGCGCTGTCCAGGGTGTGCAGGATGTAGTCTATTGCGCAGCATTGCTAGCAGTACTTTTTAATAAATGAACAAGAAAAGAAAGAAAAGACACACCTCCATGGCCCCGTCATTGCCATGCGCGACACACAAGTACAGCCACTCGCCCGCCTTCATCTCCGGACACGTCGCCCGTGTGCACACCTGCTGCAGCTGCGTGATCAGCGGGTGCGACAGGTCCTGCGCCAGCCGTCTACGCCCCTTTAGCCCCTTCTGCCTTTCACGCAAAGAGAAAGGCCCACCTGAGCTGCTCGTACTTCCAGCACGCCTCGTCCACCACCACGCCCTCCTTCCTCTCCTCTCCCTCCCCCTCTTGTCCCTTCTCCTTCCGCCCCGGCAGGCTCACAATCCGCTCCACATCATGCACGTCCGCGCGAATCACCAGCGAAATGTACTCCTGCAGCTGGAACGCGCTGTCCAGGCTCGCGAGCGCGGGCAGCGTCTTCACCGGGTAGAACGTCGAGATCCGCGAGCCCCGCAGCGGCCGCCGGATCACCGCGGGCAGCGCGGGCAGCGCAGGCGGGGGCGCGAGCGTCGTCATCGTGTTGCGTGAAGGGTTATGGTCGTGACGTGACAGGGTGACGGCGCACGTGATGCCGCCAAAATGTAAATGTGGGCATTCCTTAAGGACAGTCCCCGCGGCGAACGGGCCCTGCTGCGTACAACGATGACATGTATGTGGTGCAGGTGGGAGGTGCCCTGCTGTCTGGCCGTAAGCCACTCGACATTGTCCCTGGATGTGACGCCGGCCGCATGCCGGTGCAGACTGAGTAAGAACTGATATCCATACACCGAGGAAAGCGACAGCCCCCGCGGCGAACGGGCAGGCCTGCTTGCACATCATGCGGCGCAGGTGGCACCCCACCGTCCGAGTCAGGGTTGCAAAACAGCGCATATAACCACTCCGAGTCCGAGTCACGGCCCGGGGTTCCCACTTTGGAATTCCACACAAAGAAACGACAGACAGCCCCCGGCGAACAGGTCCCTATGCCATATGGACAGACCATCAACTAATGCCATCCTAGAAAAAAAAAAATCACACATTCAAGGCTTTTCAAGCTACAGCACGTGGTGAACACGGTACTGCAGCACTTGAATGACAGTGAATGAAACCCCTGCAATACAGGCAGTAGGAAACACTCTGCTGTCTTGTTTAATGCCCACTACTAGTACTAATGCTGATCTAGTGCTGGCTGCAATCAAATTATTTATGCCAGAGTAATTTAACTTTCTTTTTGTAGTATATAGAGACAAAAGTAGGACCAGAAGATGTCTCTTTTCAGCAGCTAAAATATTAATTATAACCGCACCTAGTATTCAAATTTGAGATGTCATATATATGTGAATCTGCAGCAAGTTAAAATCAACAGGATATGGATATTAGAGGTACTTAAATCATGCCAGAGCAGGTCAAGGATTGACAGGAAGAACCAGCACTATTTGGAAACACCCACCCTTGGCTATACTATACTATATACCCTCCTGTCCTAACCTAACCACAAACACTAGATGTGGGGCTCTGCTGAATATCAACACAGGTGGGGACACCCCCACTCTCTCTGCAGGCTGAAAATACTAGTATTACATAAAACACTACCTCAATGTTGATATTTAGATTATGTTTTTTAAAAAATTAACATGCACGATTCCAGCCAAGCTACAGCCCCTGTGGTGAACAGGACCCTGCAGTTCTTGAACGACAGTGAAAGACACTTTTGCAACACAGGCAGTAGGAATCACCCTGCTGTCTTGCTCAATACCCACACCTAGCACTAATGCTGATCTAGTACTGGCTCTGAAGTTCTCTTTGTAGTGTGTAAAGCAAAGACGGAAAACATTTGTTATGGTAAAGGTAGAGCCAGAGGGTGCCCCTAGTTGGCTAAAATTTTGCAACTAGTCAATTTTGAGATATCAAATACTGTACTATTTTGTTCAATTCAGCCAGATCACCGCTTTTGATAGAATCAAAAGCCGCCCAAAAATCTGAAAAACCAAGAAAAATTATTCCCAGTATTTCAGAAAGGGTATGACCATGACATGCCAAATTGATTGAAATAGTACAGTATGTGTAAATCCGCAGCAAGTCAAAATTAACAGAATATAAATGTTGGAGGTACCTTTATTTAACAGGCAATTTGAGGGAAAGTTGCACATAGTCCATATGAAATATTAATAAAATGACTTACTCTTATTAATATTAACTATTCCACCCAGTACCACTGATTACTTTATATATCAATTTAATATCATTCAATTTCATATAACACAGTTTTCTAGTCACATCGGGGTTTCACACCAAAACAGCCACCTGAAGCTAGACTCTTATAGCAGAGATTGGGGTCTAAATCAATGGCATAAATCAAAGGCCCTGATCATGGAGCACATAACATCCAATTTACCTTATTTTATAATTCTGATGTTATATGTTCATGGATCTGCAGCACTGATTTGTTGGAAATCAGGTGCCCATTTTTGGCACATGAGTTCTCATAAAAAAAGTCTAGCTCTGGGTCACTGTTTTTGTGCAAAACCCCAATGTAAGTTACATGGATAAACACTATTTGATTGGATATCATATATATTGCCATTTAAGTCTGTTCTGTTTGTACCTATTTGGATCCTTTTCTGTATTTTGAAATGGTGTATACTTGGTAGGCAGTATATCTGTTGTTGGTGGTACAAGATATGTGATATTGAGTTTTAAGCCTCTGGAAATTGCCTTGGAAACTGCAGTCCTAATATCCATATCTGGTTCTCTTGGCAATACACAATGAAATTCTATAAGAGTAGTATGTTTTGAGTATTCCAAATCAGTTCTTGAGTTGAGGAAGTCAATAATGACTTGATCTGGAATATCCTCAATATCATGTAGTTCCAGGTGTGTAAGAGCAGGACATAGCACAGTTTGTTCATCTTGGGACTTAGGCATAAAGGGTGTGAGGACTGTAATATCTCCTGGCTTGAGTAGCTGTCCAGGTGAGTGAAGCTGTCCTCTCATCTGCAGATGGGTTAGCAAGGGCAAATGTTGAAGAATAGCTTCAAGGCTGCTTGGTGTGTGATATTGAACTAATATCCACAAATGCTGGATATAGTTGAATTTTTGGACTAAGGCCTGTGTGAGTGCTGTATTTGTAGCAATATGCAGCACTTTGAGACTAGGACAGTCAAGCAGATGCACTGCTCTAGATATATCATCATGTTTGTTGGTGGTCATATCTAGTTTCAGGGTATGGAGCTTTGGCAGAGTCACAGCTTCTGAAGCTACCATGGTATTGCTGCCTGCCAAAGTCAGTGTGAGCTCCAGCAGAGCAGAGCAATATTGAAGGAATGGCATTGGGAATTGCAGTATTATACGCTCAGGATCGGTGATCCCAACATTCAAGTATAGTTGCAGGGTAATTTGGCCCTGCCAGTACACATTTCTGGGAATTGCTGCAAATCCTCCACTAAATGACGTGAAATAAAATGAGCTTAACTTAAGTTATAATTGGTTGCAACCAACTTCCTTACTCAAGTTGGATATAACTTAAGTTACCCTCAATATGAGAGCAAAACCAGGAATATTACATAAACTTAAGTTCCTACACTAACTTAAGTCCCTACCCAACTCAAGTTCCAATTTCATATTATATTGACCACTATCTATCACTTGCATTACAAGTCATCACTTAAGTCACGGAAATTTTCTACCGAAACTTGAGTTCTAGTAAACTTGAGTTTTGGATGAAAAACACACCATTTTTGCTTGGACGCTTTGGTACCGGCTCCACCAACTTGTTGTCACTTTCGCGTGGACGGAGAACACGTGAGGATGAGCTTGCAATTCCATGTGAGCGCAAGGTCCGGGTGTTTCCCACTGTTGGCACCGGCTCAGCTAGCAACTTCCGCTTTCGTGATGTGATCACAGTCAACGGTTGTGTTGGAGACTCGAGGGATGGGCTTGGCGACTGCGACTTGTGTGATGGAGACGGGGGGCTGTTGCACCGGCTCAGGAGAAAGTGGGACTGCCTTTGAGGGAGGCTTTTGTGGACGGCGTGTGTCCTGCGGAGACGGAGACTGTGGCGATGCAGATGGTGCTGGCGCCGAAGAAGGAGGCTTTGCTGCAACTGGCGATGCCAACAATCGGATTGATCCCGAGCGGAAGAAGCCTACGGAGCCAGCCATGGCCATAGTTGCGAGTTTGTTAGCAAGCTCGTACCACTCTCCGCGGCTCAATGAGCTCAGTCCATCAGGCCGGAACGTAAAGCCGAGAGCCGATTCATCGTAGTAATCTGCCGGAGTATCGCAAACATCTTGCCATGGTATTGCGCTCATTCCGAATGCTGCTTCTGAAACATATTAGTTAGGTAGCCAAAAGTAGAACTCAGCAACATACTGAATGAGTCCAGTAGGAAGTCGCTAACAGCCTGAGCGAGGGCTTGGGGCCATGTTATCGATTTCCTCAAGGGTGAGCGGAAACGACATGGCCAAGGGTTGCTTATTGAGCTGGGTCTTCTGGTAGTGCTCTGTGGATATTAATTCCGTGAGCATACAAACAACCACACAATAAAACACATGCCTCGGAGTGGTTTCTCGGCCCAGATGTGTGCGCTGTTGACAAGGGATGTAACCAGCTGCTTGTGAGTGGCCTCGAAGGACTGCTCGACCTGCATTGATTGCGGTACTGCCTCTGTCCTATATGATGTTGTCAAGATAAGCACACAGACAACTCGAGGGCTCACCATTCAAAATGAAGGCGGCCATCGTCGCCAAGCCATGACATCAACATCATTCCGACAAAAGGACGAAATTTGCCGTTGTCATTCAGTGTCTGCACAAAGTGCTGGAACGCACTCGGCACAAGCATTTGGCGCCTAAAATGATTAAAGAAGTTCACGCAGTCTCGGAGACAACTTACTCTTGCCAGTCAACGTCCTTTGTCGAAGCAGCTTCTGCTTCCCATAGCTCCTGGTTCTCCTCGGACCAAAGCTCCGCTTCAGCTTTGCGGAACTTGCCACCAGCATTAATGGAACCGGGAAGTGTCTTAGCATGCTGCTCAATCATGTCGTGCTTCTCGTCGCGAAATTTGTCGCGCCCAGTGTAGGCGGCGAGTCCAAACAGCTTGGTCATCGCAGAAGAGGTTGGCGGCTGTGAGAAGATGACCGAGGGGTTTGCAACGGTTGTTGACTTAGATTTTGATTTATCAGCAGATCGCTTATTGCTGATAACCTTCTGAATCGCCTGTTCAAGTGTATGGAAATAAGTGCGTTGCATTTAGGACAAGACAAAAAAAAAACCCACGATCTTCCATCCTGCACGCGAATATCCCCGCAAGAGGGCCACTTTGCCACCCTCATCTTCATCTGCCTCGGCGTCCAATTTTGCTTCAGCAGATGCATCATCGGCAGTGCGAGTATACTCCCCGCGCCCCTTCCTTGCTTGTTTCCAGTTTGCCACCAGTGTAGACAACTGTGCTTCCTCCGCTACGTCGTTAAGCTGAGTGGCATGCTTGAAAGCCTTTGCATCGAAGGCGTCATTCTTGACTCGGGCATAAAAGTCTTGTGCTCCTTTGCCTTGGAGTGCCGGTAGATTGGTGCCGCGAAGTGCGACGTCGAGAATCCAGCTACGTTAGAAGTTATTCAGTTTGGGTACCGCGATTTCTTCTGCTTTGGTGCCCACAACGCTGGCAAGTTCGGGAAATGGCATAATGTCGGGGACTTTGGAGGGTTCATACGGTTTGAACATCTCCTTTGGTTGCTTCGAAGTTGGTGGTGCCATGTGAGACAAGGTGAGTGCGGTAGGTCGAGAGAGAGGCAAGTGTTTGGTGTGACGTGACTGTCCAGTGGTTTCAAAGTCAAAGTCCCACTATGGCACTAATTCAAAGCGCAGTTGGCAACTTGAAGATATTTAAGGCACTTTTGACGACCGTCCGTCAGTCATACACACCTGCACCTCTCCCTCATGTCCTACGAAGAACGACGGCTTTTTGGAAAGTATCGTCCGGCTGACGTGAATGCGCGACATCGGGCGTTTCTGCGCAAGGCACTGGAGCTTTATCCCGAGCGGGTGCTTCGCGAGATTTTTGGCTCTCGCCCTTCCAATCTGCGGGTTGTCATGGGCCGCAGCGATACATGCGCAAATCTGGGGAAAATATATTCAAATTATGTGGACAATGTGCGTAAATGTTCTGAACTCAAAGACCGACCTTCATATGGTTCCAGAACGGCAAATTGGTCGTCCGTGAAACTGGCGCACCTGATATTCAATGTCAAAACGCATTGCTCGCCTGGCGAAATGCGTATGACAAGTACTATATGAAACAGGGCAATACCTACCGTGTCCGGAATGTGGAGGAGCAAGAAACGGCCCAGGATGCGGAACAGGCCTGGAACGACTGGGTGGATGGGTATCTTGCAGCTCAAGGTCGAGAGCGCCCGGTATGGGCAGTTCAAGCGATGGCATGGCTTGACCCAGTTATGCCGCCATTGCGGAAGACAAGAGGGATAAAAAGAGTGCTGGATGTCATTGAAATCTCGGACGACGAGGAAGAGCGGCGGCCACAGAAGAAGAATAAATTTTTGGGGGTTATCGATTTGAGTACTTAGACCTGTATTTTGTGAAGAAAACTCGAAAAAAATTGGGGGAAAAGGCGCACATTGACTCGAGACACGAACACTAAGGGTCCTTACTGGACACAAAAGGATGTCAAGAGCGGACTGAGCGGAGGCCGGATTTATCAAACTTTCCGACGATGAGCAGCCACATCTGCGAAAAAGGAACAAGTTCCTGCGTGTCATTCATCTGAACTATCTATCCTGTATATATCATGTTAACGAGGTGCATGAATGAGAACTTTCTGCGACGAACCTATACTCTAGCCCGAAATTCATTGCGCGAAGTCCGTCCAAGAAGTCGAGTTAGCGACAGTGTGATGTCCTTGGGCACGCTCGGAAGAACGCGCGGCTGGAACACTGCTGGCCGCGAAATCAGCGCCCTGGCCATGCAAAGCCAATCGGGTCGGCGACGTGCCGAACACGCTGGGACATCTTGCCCCATGCGGCCGCCGCCACGTTCGAGGGAAACGGACGGTTTGCGGGAAAACCCAGTGCGTTATTCGCGAGCAGCCGGTAGCCACGAAAGTCGACTCGATGGATGAGGAGTCGAGGACGTCGGGAACCTTTCCCGAGTCGATTTTTGCGTTGATATACGGTCGCAGCCAAGAATGGGCAGGACCGGTGTCTCGCATGGCTCATCCGTTGGAGTCAGTGAGAGCACAACCTATTCCGACGTTGCGACCAGTACCCACTGCTGGGCGAGTAAGCGAAGTCGGTGATGGGACTGGGGTGTGGGACAGGCATATCGTCAAAGGCGATGTTGACCCGGAAAACGGGGTGGAGGAGCGCCCTGTACAGATTCGCAGCCAGGCGATTCACCAGTGGGCGGAGGAGAAATGGTGACGTGGATGATCACGTCATTTTCCGATCATCGGCTCACCGAGCTTCTTACCGTCTACCACGATGCGGTGCAAACGACGACAACGACGCTAAACGGTAAACTTGAAGCAGCGCCCGGTAGTGCGCAGGAGGATGAGTCCTGGGGCAGAGTGTGTGTGCTCACTGCTCAGGTCAGGTGTGAACCGGTAGGTGCTGTGTCCTACTTGTCGGCGGCCCAAAGCTGACCGCACAATGGGCCTAGCCAAATGGATTGGGTCGAGCGCTTCAGTTTCGAGGACATCGAGCGCTGGACTACGCGTGTCGGTACCGCTACTCTGGTGAGTTCTGCAAGTTGCTACGCGTTGTGCATATGTCGACTGACATTTTCGAAAAGCTCTCGACGCTCGAGAAAGCACAGATTCTCAAAGCTTATTCAAAACCAGATGGCTGTTTGCTGCGATAATAGAACGAGGTGGAGGGACTTGCTCTAGTACGGATTTTGCACGACCGCCGCAGCTGGCAAAATTACTCCATACATTCGGTGAGCTCTCTTGGACTAGTTGTGTTTCATATCTCAGATGTATTGCAGAGTTATTACGACGACTAATATATCAGTATGTCTCATAGAGTGCAAATTCTGAGCCATCACCTATCCTTTCCCTGAGCTGCTGGTGTGATCTCGACAAAGCGCGAGTGTCATCCTACTCTCTCTAACGCTCAACAGTCAGTGTTCACACTAACTCAAAGGTAAGCTTTGGCGTTCCAGAAACTGAATTACTCGAACTTATGGTTGCAGCAACACGCAGCATGAAACAAGTAAAGCGAAAAAATGCCTCAAAGCCGAACGCACGACACTCATGGCAACGAATGTGCCGTCCTACCAGATGACAGTTCATACAGGTTTGCACCGATTCACCCTTTCATCTTGCCGCTGAAGTCCGTATTCAAGGACTGCATCGCTCAAGAACCGAAAACCGTTATGTGCCTGCCACGGTTTCAGAACCACTGATGCCACCTTCAACTAAGAACGACTCGTTGCCGGCGATTCCGCCCCATGAAATCTCAACGGACACTGAACCCGGCGCAATTCCTGACTATTCGGCGACAATGCCTTGTGAAACTGAGGGAAACAAAGTTCGACAGGTTAGCTATTAATATCCATTCTCCATAGCCGCTGGACAAATCTTCAGACTGTCGCTCATATGGATGAGTTTAAAGGCCAAGAAGATGTCTTTCTTCGCCTTTTACTCTCGCGCCATCATCACTCAACACTTTTGACACCTTGCGGATGTGGATCTCACCGTCGTCGAACTGTGGGCATGCAACGAATGTATTCAATCCGATTTACTTTGCTCCCAGTGCTGGATCAACAAACATCGACATTTGCCTACTCACTGGGCCCTTGTGTGGAACGAACTCGATAGCTTCTTCGAACGGACTGACTTCAGCCGCGTCATGAAGAATGCGGTCATTGCGCTCGGCCACAACGGAGACAAGTGTCCCAATGCAACACTGGCCCGTTCTTTCACTCTTGTCGATTTAAACGGTATTCATGCGACTGCCGTCTCCTTCTGTCGCTGCCGCACGACCGAGTCCGAAATGGGGGAAACCGAAGTTCAAGCAGCTTCTACGCGCTGGAATATTTCCTGGTAGCATTCGTCAGCCAAAGACAGGGTATACTTTGAATGTGCTCGAGTATTACAAACAGGAGCACAACCAAGGGAAAGGCTCGATGTATAACTTCGTGCATGTTCTTCAACGAATGGCTGACCCATTCTTTGCAAGTGCTGTCCCTGTACGTGTTTTTCCCGGAAATTTAGTTTTCAAACTCATATACACATTCTCTTAGGATATCTATGCCAACTTCCTAGCCGTCGTGCGATTTTATCAATACCTGGACATTCTCTTGTGCCGAGGACAAGCACATGGTCTTGATACCCCGATACCTGGCGAAGCAAATCGTCCCTTATCCTAACCGTGCACCAGATTTCCTTGGTAACTTGTGCGCGGCATGCCCCGAGCGCGGCGTCAACATGCCGTTGAAAGTCACCTACCCACGATATCTCCGTCATCTTGTTTCGCAACATATCACACTCGATGGCAACTTCAAGGTGAACCTGTTTCACAAGCGCGACAATGGAAGCGATCATGCTCTAACGGATGGGAAGATGTATTTCCCTGTCCAGGCGGAGTATAACCATATTGCTGCGACATATGTCGTGCCGAATGAAGATACGGTTTGTCGCACCTTTTTGCTTAGCTCTCAGCTTATCTTTCGGTTAGGAGGCGCCATGTCAAGCACATATTGGTTCAATTCGTCACCAGGGTAAGGCCAAGTACGGAAATACCGCCATTAGCGGTGTTGTCGGTTGTGCATGTGATCATGCCGTCCTTGGATCCTTGGTTGACATGCTGGTCGGGGAGGCGTTTGCACTGGGGACCTATGCCCAACGTGAATTCCTACGACACATCAATTCGCCACCACATCTGTCCGAGTCGCAAACACCCTTAGTTGGCAGTTATGATAGTTGGTGCATTTTCGTCAAGAATTTGCGCACCCGAGCTGTCACACTCTTCCCTGAAGCAATATGGCTTCACGATCTTCTAGACAAGATTGAGGGTCAAATTCCTGCCGACCACATCAACGATCATGGTGAAGTGTGTCGTAAAATCTGGCAGGCCGTCTACTTTGCCTGCCGGGCGCATTTCCACGGCGAGACAGCAGAGGTAATTTGGGCGAACCTTAACCCTCTTGGGTCATCAACCCGCCAAATGACGGGGGGCGCGCGGGCATGATGCGATGAACTATGTGGTTGATGCTTGGAATACATCGAAAGTATTTCGGCAAGGTAGTAACAAAGAGGTCCAACGTTGAACAGTGTACTAACATATAATTAGGACGACTGTTAGCAGCTGAGCGACAAGAAGCACTCCAGCTGTTTGAGCTACACATGTCTGTTGTGATTGACCTCAGCCACCAGCATGCTGCCGAAGTCGTAGAGTGGTCGAAGATGTCCCGAAACGCGTATCAGGGCCTGGACGGGGATTGGCACAGTGTATACCAGCACACATCAAAAGCAGGCATGTTCTACTGTCAGCAACAGGATCTCCAAACTGACTGTCCGGTCAATAGTTGTTACGATCGAAGATGTCCTTGCTGCAATGGTGACCAAGGAGCGTGAACGTCAAACACATCAGGATGAAGTTTCTCATACGGCGCCCGTTGCTCACTGGATTTGGAATGGTATGAATATACAGCGCCAACAGTATGTATTTGTCCATTAGTACAGGCTGTTGCCCAGCTGAGCTGATATCTATGTAGAGCTTTTATCGTCACACTTCTCAAGACTCACAACGACCATCCCATGCAAGAAACATTCGAGTCTATTACCAAGCTTCGCAAAGTCTTAATCGCGAACTCAAGCCGTTCCGAGAACAACAACGCTCAATCTATCCACGGTTGACCCTCAGTGCGCTAGATTCAAATGAGCCAGAACTAGCAGCCATTCAACTGCCCTCGTATCGCATGAAACACGGGCAGCGCTCTCCATCGAGTATCAGCGCTTGTGATGCTGAGTTGCGTGATGCGGAAATCGAGCTGCGATGCAGTCAGCTCGAGAACGCAATTCAAGCTGTTCGGACGGCATCCTTGGGGCTTTCTGCTGTCAAGAAATCCAGAGACCTCGATTTTCGTGGGCAGGCAGGTATCACACGGTCTAAACGAAATCTTCAAAATGCGGAGTTGATGAAGGCATTCGAGATCGCACAGTATAACGAAAATCGGGATGCATTGGTGCATCTGGGCCATATTTGCAGCGATGATATTGATACCTTCCCACCACTTAGCAATCGCGATACGCGTCGCAAGGACACGCATCTTCACCGTGCCACTGGCGATTCTCGTGTGTTTGATGGGACGGCTTGGTACCTGCAGAGCGGCACAAGAATCCCCGATATGGATCCAACTCAGAACCTCCTTCTGACTCGCCGCCTTGACTCTGAGAGCGAGAGTGATGAGCCTCAGGCTCAACTCCTTACGGGTACTCAAACTCTGAAGCGGAAAGGTAACGGCTCACTGACATTTAGAGTCATCTAATCTTCAAGCAGGTTTCACCAAATCTCCGCGTCCAGCAAAACGTCTGAAGGACATCTTGCCACCAGCTCCAACAAACATCACAGTACTCTCATCGGCAGAGGATAGTGATGACCCACTTACCCAGAGTCCGGTTAAGCATACCCAACTCCGCAAGAAGAAGAAGGACAAAAAGGGAGACGGGTGGATTTGGCTTGAGAACTGGGTCAACAAACGCGGGCTTACCGACGAGAAACTCCAGGCATATAAGCTAGAAAGTAGGTTCTTGTCTATAATATGATTTCAAATAGACAGGCTCATATTAACATAGGTGACCGCGTCCAGTATTTCCGTGCTGAAGCTGAGATGTACCGGTGGTTGGAGCAGTACGAACGAAAGCATGCAGAGCTGTTCCGCGTGATTGAGCGATTCCATCGGGATGCAGTTGTGTGGACAGGGCTTGCTGATCGCCATCAGCAGCAAAATGGTCATGTTGATGGGGCAGTGACCTTTGCACGCATGCAAGCAGCAATGCATCGCCGCTTACAGCATAATGCGGAAGTTGTGTTCAAAGATGCTGAATCAGGTGCACATCACGACTGGGTTAGTGCAACTTCATTTGATGACTTGGTTATCAAAATCGACGCATGGCGGGATGCTGTGTTTGGCTGGATGGACAAAATGGTTTGTTTATTTGTTTTGGAATAACTGAACAAATTACTCATACCAGTATAGAAAATTCACCGGGCGTATAAAGAATTCTAATATTTATGGTTTTGATTGTTTTTCAATGACTTACTTATGGTTTCGATTTTATAATAAAATAATGAAATATTAAAAATCAATAATAAATCATAAATTAAAATAATATGTCACTAACAAAGTTGGATGTAGGATATCATCAGAAATTGATGATGAGATCAAATGTTCCATCATCATAGCTGAGAAAATATATTGAGACAAGAGCCTTAGTAAGCTTAATATATATCATGGATGATAGTTTACTATATAAGGCCAAAGTGAAGATATAGCATGATTTTAGATAAGTAAAATGAAAAACAAGCTTAACTTAAGTTATACTGGATATATATTGAAACTTGGGTTGTGATGATTGGACTGTGACATGCTCGCCTAGATACAAGTTAATCTTAAGTTTATAGTTTTGTGTAACTTAAGTTTAAGACAATATACTATATGGCAGTATAATATTGGGCAAAACTTAAGTCTTGGTCACAACTTGAGTGATATCATGGTCTGGACCACCTAACTTAAGTTAAGCTAATAAATTAGTTGAAATGACAGGTTACCCAGACTAGATGTGGCAAGAAAGTCTAAAGGAAAGGGCCTCATAAGGGGTCCAATATCAAGACTCTTTAGCTGTGGAACACTATGAGCAGTGAGGAGGGAGAGTGTCTCTAGTTCTTCTCGACCTAGATATGTCAGTTTTATGTGACTCCACCGATGGGACACTGATGACAATAAGGACAGAAGGGATGGAGAGAGCAGAGCCTTATTTGGGGATACATGCCCAAATTTGTGCAAGTGTACAGATCTGACCACTGTAAAATTCAAGGGTGTCTCTGCCCCTCTGTCAAGCCATAACTGAAAATTTGGGGGTGCCTTCAATTGTGTGACTGTGCGAGTTGCCTGGGAACCTGATCCAGTATTCTTTTGGATAGATTGAGTTGCAGCAACAATGTGGATTGATGCCCAGAGAAGAGGGGTTGCAACCACTAGGTTCCTCCAGCAGGTGCAGACTAGAGACAGCATCAATGGCCCTTCTGTTGCATCTATAGCAGTATTCCTATGCTTAGGAAGAGTCTCCAAAAAGATTGCACACAGAAGATCATCTGGAAGTCTGCGTATAGGTGCAAGCAGTGCCTTATGGGACCCAACAAATGCCCCCATTGCATCCCTGTGGTCCATGTGTGACGGGGCGCTTACTAAAGCGGGTCCCGGCACACGGGAGACCGAGGGCGGAAGGCCGGCGAGGTCGGGGACGCGATAGAACTGGCGTAAGTACTAGATTCGACCTCGGAAAAAGCTAACTAATACAGAAAAACAGCTCCACCTATATAAGTATTTACAGGACTGATGTCATAGTGGAGAGTATGATAAAAGAATGAGTTCATTGTGGAGTAATGGCGCGCGCTCGAGCGCAACTCCGGCGGCATGCACAATCTTATCTTATCTCGGATCGCGTGATCCGCGATCCGGGGCCTTACATACGCCCTCCATATCTTTGCTTGGAAAGATATCCACGTGGTTTCAACTCGGAAACATTATTGAATACACGGCAGACGACGCGTCGCCGATCGCTGACTCATACCACGTGATGAGATCAAACGCGTCATCGCGTAAGCGCTTCTTGTCCAGAACCACCACGACATCCGATGCGGAGTCTACTATGGTGAGTGAATTCGCACTCGGGACGACCGCGAACCGACTCAGAACAGTTTCGCCCTCCGAATGGAGTCCAAAATGGTCTACTAGGACCGTCTGCACCGTGCGGACAAGCGCGTCATCGAGCGATTCAAAGAAACGCGTGGCGTCGGGCGCAAGTTCTTGGTGCCCAAACCCAACGAAGCGGCTCTGTGGCGGGCGTACCACGCGGCGATGCGGAAGCGAGAGTCGGCCAGCTGCCGGGACTCAAGCAACACCTCAACGCCGTACCTCTCATCGCGCATGACAAGCTGCGACTCCGAGAGCCGAGCGAGCGCGAATCGGCTCGTTTGCTGGACGGCTCCTTCATCTCCTGGGTATGGCTGGGCATTCTGCAACGACAGCTCTGCGTTGAGGAGGAGGAAATTGCCAATGGGGTGCTCAGAGGCAACGTCACCAGGTGCGTTGTCCAACAGCTCCGAGGATCCAGCTGAAAATTCTTCGCCAGAACTCTCAGTGGACTCCCCCTCGCCCTCCTGGACAACGACACCGTCGCTGAAGAGCTCGGATTCGACTTCGTCGGCCCACGACAAGCCGACGGCGCCAACCGCCAACGTCTCAAGCACCTCTGTGCTTTCATATAGCGCAGACTGGCGCTCGGAGAAGTCCACGCCGTGAGCGCCAAAGCCTGGCGGCTTCCCTCGAACGGATGACTTCACGGTGGAAGTCGTGGGGCAGTCTCGGGCCAGATGCCCGATTTCTCCACAGGTAAAGCAAGCTCCCGTCGCGAGGAGCTCGTTGCGACGTTTGGCAGACATGCGGCGCTCTTTCAGCGCGTCTGGCTTCGTCGGGAGCTCGACTGACGCAGCGCGAAGCTGCTCGTTCCGCGAGTCAGCCTGCGGCTTGTCGGACTCGACCCGCCCTCCGTGGCCTCGCCTACGGTTGCGGTGAGCACTCTCACTGTCCCTCTGGGTGGCGTCTGACGATTTCCCGTCAGGCTTCGCCTTCTCGTGGTCCAGGGCATCGGACGCGGGCGATTCTGGCTCAATATTGAGCAGAATCTCGGCGTCCTCAGCCGCTTGGACAACATCGTCCCAGGGAGCGGTCTCGGGGTCGAGCTTCTGGCGGTACATCTCGCGCTGGATGTTCGCGTTCAAGGTGCGCCAGTACTTGACGACCTTCTCCTGATCATCAGCTAACCCGATGATATTCCAGGTTGTTTCAAACTCAGCTGTGTACTCGACCACAGGCGCGTCTTTCTGCACCATGCAATTCAACTTGTCGCGCATTTTGATGCGGAAATTCATAGGGAAACAAAATTCAAATAATCCCCAGAAGAAGTCACGCAGTGAGTAGTTCTGCTCGTTCAGAACGACCTTCTGATCGTAGAATTTTGCAGCTTTGCCCTCAAGAAAGTGGGATAGGTAGAAAATCTGCTGGTCGGCAGGCACACGACCTGTATTCACATACGCAGTACCCTCCCGCACAAATTTCTTGTACTTGGCGGGATCGGGCGAACCGTCATACGCGGTCGGCTTAACCGGCTTCAACAGCATGGGCAGCGCAATGTCACGTCGGCGTGAGCCTAGACGCGACGATTCGGGCGCGGGCGTGGAGCAACGGCAGGCTGGCGCCGTCCTGGCCTAGGAAGTCCATCGAGGTCCGGTGAGTTGGCCTCCGGGTCGGGAGCCAGAACTCGAGGATCGTCAGATGGGTCTGGCGAGGGCGGGTTCCCAGGTGCTGCTGTTGCGGCGTTGATTGCGCGCGCTCAATAGTGCTCCCAGCAGCAAATCGGGGCCACGCGATGGCCTCGCTGGCACCACGGTGTGTGCGCGAGTGCCCTTCACACGTGGTTCCGCGGGTACGCCCCGCAAAATACGCTCACGCGCAAAGCGCTCGGCACGACTAGCAAGTGGCTTCACTGCCGGTACGTGTTCCTCGTTCGCAAGCCTCAACTCGCTGATCTGGCGCTCCAGATCAGCGATCCGTGCTGCAGCGCTCACACGAGAGCCTGCAGTAGTGGATCCCATCCTCGATGGGTGTTCCGAGAGATGCAACGTCTCACCCGGGGCTACAGTCACCGGAGAGGAATGCTTCGACGGCGAGAATTTCGCGAAAAAGCTCGGCGGCGTCGTTCAACGTTCGATCTTCACGCGCGGCTCACGGTGATGCAACTCTGCAAAGTTTTCCAATGCATCACGCTGCGCGGCTAATTCATCTTCAGAGAACTCCTCTGAAAACTCAACTGCTCCCCAGTTTCCGGGATCAGGGCCCTTCCCCTTGTTGCGGGAAGGTCCAGCTGAAGGTGGGCGAACAGGCTTTGGGCTGATATGGCCAAGGTGCGTCGGTGACCGGACACTCTGATGTTCGGATGGGGACTCATACCCATCATCAAAGGATTGACGAGACTGCTCGTCAAACTCAATCAGTGGCGACGGCGACCTTGAAAATCGCGGGGCAGCACTCGCAGACTTGCGACTCGCAGCAAAGCGAGCCTCATCAGCCAGCAGCTGGTGCCGGCGCGCCAACAGGCTGAGCTCCTCAACACTCATGCCATCCATGGCAAGGTGAGTTGTTGACTCAGATTCAAACTGATGTATTGACGAATGTGCTACACTTGTAGGACGAATGACTGGGCTTCGACGCGCGCTCGACAAGCGCGTTGTCATACCAGCACTATCATCGTCAACCAGATCAAGATCCGCGACTGGCGTCCGGCGACCCCAATCGACATCGCCCGAAAGCACAGGGAACTCAGCAAGCTGAGACTCGGCAAGCCGAGGACTGGCAAAGCCAGGAACACGCCCGGAGGCGGCACGCCGTGAGGCGGGGCGAGAATTCGGCATAGCCGGGACACCGCCGACCCATATCACTCACCAAGTGATGGTCGGCTCCACTTGTGGAGCGGGATGACGACAGGCGTGACGTCAAACGAGCAGGGGGCGTCGGGGCAGGAGCGCGACCGGTAGCCACAGCAAGACGGGTTCGATGGGTAGCCATGAGACGTCGGAGGTTGGTCAGGGCAACAGCAAGACGACAGGAAGGGTTGATCAGACCCTCGGAGTCAGTACAGACTGTAAACCAGTAGCGAGCAGTTCAAAATATGTGACGGGGCGCTTACTAAAGCGGGTCCCGGCACACGGGAGACCGAGGGCGGAAGGCCGGCGAGGTCGGGGACGCGATAGAACTGGCGTAAGTACTAGATTCGACCTCGGAAAAAGCTAACTAATACAGAAAAACAGCTCCACCTATATAAGTATTTACAGGACTGATGTCATAGTGGAGAGTATGATAAAAGAATGAGTTCATTGTGGAGTAATGGCGCGCTCGAGCGCAACTCCGGCGGCATGCACAATCTTATCTTATCTCGGATCGCGTGATCC